TTCTTTTATTATTTTCAAATCAAAAAATCTATTTTTTAACAATTCCAAGCTTAGTTCCAGACCTTTAATGTGCCGTTCCTGGTCTGTTATCGTATTGCTGAAGATCTGACGAGTAAGACCCTCAGATGAACTTTGGAAATCCTGGGGAGCCAGATGACCAAAAAAACATTTTCTAAAAATAAAAATAGTTAAATAGTAAATTTAATACAAATTTGATGAGCTAATTACGCAGACTAAATAAAGACACTAACTCAATAAAAAGGATAATTGTACGAAAATACTGTTTAGCAAATGCAAAAATCAAGACTCCCTTTGTCTTGGTCTTTTTATATTTTTGGACATATTGGCTTACTACACGACTAACTAATATAAAATTAAAAATCTAAGTGCAACTAGGCTGTTATTATAATTTTATTCCATAATGAGTGAAAATCAACAAAAACAAATTTCATTTTAAACAGAAAATATTGAAAACAATTTTAATTATTTCTCACAACTAATAGTCTGTATTGCCTCCTCGAGCCTTAATGCAAGCTGTGAGACGACGTGGCATGCTCTCAATTAAGTTGTCCAGAAGATGTTGGGGAATGGCTTCCCATGTTTCCCGCGCAGCAATTTTCAATTAATTTAAGGTACGGGGGATCATTCCTTTTGGCAATATGGCGTTTTATTTCTCTTCCTCACAAAATTCGCGAACCGCTAAAGTGCGATGTGGAGGAGCAGTATCGTCCATGAAAACAAATTCATCCCCCACTGCCCCTCGAAATGGACGCACAATAGGCTCTAAAACGTCTCTAAGATATGATGCACCTGTCATGGTGCCATCAATAAAAACAAGGGGAGTTCGAGCTCCGTGCATTATATCTGCCCATACCATAATGCTTCCCCCTTGAAACGGAACACGGGGTTGAGCTGCATTCAAGCGTGCTCGTCTTCCAGATGCTCTCCAGACCAAAGTTCGTCGCTAGTCTGACACTAGGCCTATTCTTGTTTCATCACTAAACATGACGAAACTCCAATTAGGTCCATTTGCTCTCATCTCCTCAGCCCATTGTAGTCGTGTAATTTTGTGCTGTAAATTAAGCTTCGAAACACGTAGAGGCCTCCTTAAATGTAATCCTTAATAAGTCATTGAGTCTTCTTGCTATGGTCTTTCTTGAAACATTTACTCCTTCAAGGCGAGCTAACTCATTTTTAATAGCAGTACTAGAAAGCAGGAGATTGCCTCGTGCAATTAGGGATATTTGACGGTCTTGCACAGCTGTAGTAACTCTCTTTCTACGTCTTCCAGGCCGGTCTAAAACTTCGTTTTTCTCCCTGATTTTTTTTAATATTCGCGAAACATCGCTTTAGTTAACTCCTACAATTTCAGCTATTGCAACTTGCCAGTAGTATATATATGACTCATTTTTACGACATTCGTTGTCTCCCGCTTCTCAACTTCCACAGATTTCTGTCTGTCCAGTCTTCTTCCTGAAGGCCCCTAGAATTCTAAGCGTCAACTACACCCTGCTTCCATCTTCGTGGTGGTCTTCCACGTTTCCGCCTTTCGCTTGGTGTCCATGAATGAATTCTTTTCGGCCATCGGTTATCATCCATTCGTTGGAGGTGTCCGTACCAACTTAGTATTTTGCCGTCAATGGCGTCGAGAATAGTTTCTTTTTCTCCTATAATTTCTCGTATTCTTTGATTTCAGATGTGTTCCAGTCTTGAAATGCGACAACTTCTTCGCCAAAAATCCATTTCAAGAGACAGCAACTTATTTTTCTCTACTTTGTTTAGCTCCCACGTTTCAGCGCCATGAGTGGTAATGCGCTCTACAATGGCTTTATAAAGTAGAATTTTTGTTTTTTGGGAAATTTTGTCACTCCGCAACAACGAGTTAAGTTGACCGATAACTCCTTTTCCTTCACCAACTTTATTTGCAATATCTTGAGTGCTTTTTCCATTTGTTGTAAAAGTGACGCCCAAGTATTTAAATGTACAGACATTTTTAATTGTGCCGATTCCTACATCCAAATCCTCACGTTCGTCATCACCCACTACCATGTGTTATCACCCACTACCACCCATTTAGTAATAGCAGAATAGTTTCTGCCTCTATTAAACTGTGAAATAATGTTTCTAGGCATTTTAAGGCCAAAACAATGGTCACAAATCGAAATATTTGTAATAATATTGGGCAAGAATTTGTAATAATATTGGGTCTGAACGATAAACATTATTTACCATATCCATTTTAACAAAAAAATGTTTATTACAGATTCTCAAAGCTATGTATAAAAAAAATTCTTTAAATTTCTTTCCGTATATTTTTAAACGATATATGCAATAATTTTGGCCATGTGTGTATTTCAAAATATAGTATGTATGTCACAGGCGTATTAAATAACTCGGTATTTTGCAAAAAGACTATGCATATTAAGAGATTTTTATGTGGATTAGCATTCGATTTTTGTATGAAATTATAATAAAGCATTGCTGATTCAATATAAATAATTGAAAAAAAAACTTGAGACAAATATTATTTCTTTGTTTAAAGTTTCATTTGCATTGAGACTTGAAAAACTACTACTACTTGGACTGTAGTAAAAATCTATTAAAAATGTACAAGGCTTGCAAGAGTCTTGCGACTCCAGGACCAATGGAGTCTTGGTCTTGCATTTGCTCATTACTAGTACGACTGCAAGGACTGTGTTGGACTTAATAAAAGCCCCATATAATATTTACCTTTTACTTGGACGCGTTTTTTTCTTAAATACTGCCTTGTACGCCTTTTGAATTTCGATATTTTCTTTTCTCTCTTCTGAGGTCAGGATATTATCTTCATCTACAATAGACAATTCACTTTCGGATAGTACCTCGGAAGCTGATCGTGTTTTGTCAGAGGCGTCAGAATCGGTACCATCAGAATCACATTCAATAATATTGCTGATTGGTTGATTTGAAGCGCCATTGACAACCTCGGTAACTTGGCAACTAAAATGGTTTATGTAAATTAATTGGCTTCCAGTTGGACTTAAATTCTGGTTCATAAATCAGTGACCGTTTAATTTTATTTAAAACGTGTAAATATAATGTTAGTTGTAACAATCCCACACCGCAATCACATACTCAATAATTTGTAGATTATCGAACACAGCGTGGAATTAATTTCTATATTAGCAGTTCAAGGCAAGAAACTCTTATATAATTTTATTATATATATATATATATATATATATATATATATATATATATATATATATATATATATATATATATATATATATATATATATATATAATAAAAAAAAATAGGTAAGTTATAATAATTATTTATTAACAAAAATATAAAAAAAACTGGCGTATCCTAATTAATTTTGACAAGTTGTAAATAAAAGCAAATTTGCAAGAAAAAATATATAATTTGTGAATTTCATAACTAACTTGTTTACTACACGTGACGTGTTTATACATAGTGTCCCAGAAATAAGTGCTTTTAATAAAAAAAAAGAATTTTTTTTTATTAATTTTATAATTATTATTAATGCTATTTACTTTTAATTGTAGTTGCAAAAATATAATATAATTTTTGCATTTTTTTTTCTATTGACCTTTAAAGTGAAGAAATGAACCACAACTAGGGTTTCTAAATTGGGATCTCGGGATTCCGAAATCCTGATATTCAATCCGGGGATTCCGAAAATCTGGAAAAAATGAAATGCCCAAGTTATATAATATATTTATGTAGCTTATAGCAAGCCGGATCATATGGTTTATAAATAAAAAATGTGTTCTATTTGAAAAAAAACGCAAGTTAATATAAGATAATAAACGCAAGTTAATATCTTCAAAAATACTTTTTTTCGTAGAAAAACAGACTATGCCACAGTATTTTGCGTAAAAAGTTCAGAAGAAACAGTTTTCACCTCCTCGATACCTTTCACTCTAACAGGGGTAAAAAAAGTTTTTGTCAAAGAAAAGTGTAGATTATAAAATTTTCAAAAAGACCCTGTAGCTTAGAAACGAAGAGGACTATGAAAATTTTGTGTACAGGGTGGGTCAAATTCGACGCTTTTAAATGGAAACACTCTTTTCTATAGGAGATAGACGAAAACTAATATCGGTGTCTAGAGCTCAATTTTCATCAAAAACATGATGGTTAAAACAAAGAAATAAGTGTATTTTAAGTAGATCTGGCCAAAAGAAACATATTTTCTTTTTTTACCACTTTTAAACTAAATTAATAATAACCGATTTATTTAACTTTAAAAATTGAAAAAAAATAATGGCAGCATTTTGAGAGGCGCCGCCAACAATCGATAATCAGCAGCAAATACCAAACAATTACCTGAATTTCGGCGTGTTCGCCGCCCAGTGTTGACACATCGACTAGAAAGACATATTTTTATACCTAACCGTTTGACTATATACATTGTAAGAATATATACAGGGTGGTCCGAACTTCGAATTCCGGAAACTTCTGCAGTATATCCTGCAGATAAAAATAAGTAAAAAAAATCGTATAAATGTATGTCCTAAAATGCTTAATTTCGGAGATACATGGTGTAGAAGTTTCATTTTTATTTCGATTATTGGTTATTTATTCTTATTTGGTATCACACACTTGGTATTTCGAGTCAAATTGTCGTTATGAACTGCATGTTACAATTTCAAATAAACCATATGCGAAAATGTCAAAATTTGGGATATGGTATGCCATTCTATTCAGCCTGTCATTTTCTACTAAATAAAGTAAAAAAATACCGAGGGTGTCATATTTAAAAATCAAAAGTTGTAGTCATTTCCGGTGAAACAGGAAGTGAGCGATTTGTTGATTAAATTACACTAATGTACCAAATCCCGTTTTTTATCTGAAAAAATAAAAAAGTTATAAGGGTGGGCCACTTTTGAAAAACACCCAGTGTAACAGAAAATATATTTATTTTCTACAGTTCACAAAGGATTAGAAAATAAAATTAAATATAAATTGAATTTATACTATTTAAAACCATTTTAGAATTTAAATTAGTTAGAAGTAATAATTAATAAAAAATATACGTAATACTGTTGTCAGACAGAGGCTAGATATAAAATTTGTACATATCACTAGTTTAAACTAAACAAAAGATCCTATGTTGTTTTTTGGATCAATACAATTTTTCACGTGAAGTTTTAATCCTTGATTGGTGGTGAATCCTTTACTACAAATTTTACATACATAAGGCTTTTCACCAGTATGACCTCTTAAATGAACTTTGTAAGGAGTCCACTGCCTAAAACTCTTCTTACAATAACCACAACTATAAGGACGTTCCCCTGTGTGGATTCTTTGATGATAAGTCAAAACATATTTCTGTTTAAATGCTTTTCCGCATTGAAAACACATAAACGGTCTGCTCTCTGTGTGGGATATTTTATGTTTCTTAAGATTATCCGCATCTTTGAAACCTCGCCCGCAAGTATCGCATAAGAAATTTCTCTCTATATCTTTTTTAGGAACGGTTTTTGTATGTGCCTTCTCTACGTGATACTTAAAGAGATTAAGGGTTTTAAATTCAGTTCTGCATATAGAGCAATAAAGTAACGAGGGATCACCTCTAATTTCGGGTTTATGCATATTAATTTGGTGTCGTTCCAATGCCCTTTCGCCAAAGAACTCACTCGAGCACACGATGCAGCTTTGTTTTTTATTCTCGTCGTGCTGTATTAAGTGTTTATATAAATTTGGACGGTTGCTACACACTTTTCCACATTGCTGACACACATTCGTTTGCAAATGGTTCGAGTATAGATGAGGAAGTAGTTTATTCTTGCTATTGGTTTTAAATGAACACATTGGGCAGGGAATTTTACCGTTTACCAGATGATTTTCCATATGGTAAAACAAATCACGAAGAAATTTAAACTTTTCCGGACATTTTACGCAACAATAACTTTGATCCACGTGAAGCTGAACATGTTTCTCTACTTCGTGTACTTTTTGGAACTCCGCAGAGCATGTTTGACAAATATATAAATCTAGAGATTCGTCGTAATTGTAAGAGTGCTCTTCGAGAACTTCTAATTCATTATGTATTTTTTGGTGAGATTTCAGTGCCTTCACGGTCATAAAAACTTGTGGGCATTTTGGACATTGCCTGGGTATTCTGTAAGGTCTAGGTTTGCTCTTGTTTTTTTGTAGTTTCTCTTGATGGCTCTTCAGGGCAGTTATAGATTGAAAAATCCCAAAGCATTTTTTGCATTTTCTAGATAACTTATGAGATTCACTGTTTCTATCGTCGGATATTAGTTTGGCGGTACATTTCTTTTCGTGGGAGAACAATGTTTTGGCGGATCTAAAACTACTGTCGCATTTTAAGCAACTATTTTTATTTTCCTTGATTTCTGATTTTAACCTGAAAAATATTAATAACTAGTATCAATTTTTATGGTTATCACAAGCACAAAAATCTAAACCGTGGCGTCGCTTGGTTAATACTATACAACTATAATATTACATGATCGATAGTTATGTAAAATTAAGGGCGGTATCAAATCATCAATCGTTGTTTCCAAACCAACTAGATGTCGTTTTTGTTTAAATCAAAAATATACAACATGCTAGAAAAAATGTTACGGTTTCTAGGAGCAAGTAAATATTCTAAAATAAGTAATGTTATTCAATATTTGATCCCTTTAAAAACAATTAACAAAATTCAAATAAACGAGCAAGTCTTATACCTAATGATCGAAAAAAAAACGGCGTTTGGAATGACGATCGATGATAATTTTCGCGACGTCAATCTCTAGACGTCATTTACTAAAAATTGACATAAAACTTGTCAAAAATAAACACTAATTAAAAAATTATAAAATGGTTAAAAATGGATAGACAGTTTTCAGACACATAGATCTATTTCTAAAAAAAATACCAATTTTAAACTACAAAATTTAATCATTTTATAATTCTATTGCTCAATATAAAAATAAATTACAACCTTCTTAAGGTCAACTGGCAGTAACTGCCATTCAAAAATAAGGAAGAATATGGGCCAAGTAATGACGTCTAGGGCTTGGCCACGCCAAAATTATGAATTTTCATTCCCCAGTCGTCTTTGACGCATTTTTTTAAAATCATATGGTATTAGAAATATTACAGAGATTAAAGCCGGGACCCCATTAGCTCACACGCTACGCCACGCCATGCCACGCCACGTCATGAGGATTTCTGTGCGTATGTTTTTCCATTTAATTACATGTCTTGTGTACACACTAGGGCTCACGCTGTCACAGTGTGATGGTCGATTCGTCTGTCCCAGATATCACGTGTACACTCTTTCCCACGTCGCAACACGTGTGCTCAAGTGGGATGGCGTGGAGTGGCGTGTGGTCTAATGGGGTCCCGGCTTAAGCTGCTCTAATGTAAAAAAAATCTTCGGAAAACTACTACAGTACGATGCACATCATGCATAATATGAGTGTGGATGCACCAAAGGATTTTCTACAGCTCTGAGCGACGCGACGCCGCGCCGACGTCTTGCTTGCGGTAGATGTGTGTCGCTTATAGATGCGATTTCCTACCGACGCGATGTCTGGCTGCCGCGTCTCGCTGCACACTGGTTCGTTTTTCGAACGTACGTGGTTAAACCTGTATATCAATGAAAAGTAATGCATTGCTTAATATGGAAACAAACCAGTGCGCGGCCCAGACGGCGCTAGAAAAGCAGACCTTAAAGTTGATATCTATGGCAGCTACAGTACGTCTGTCCGTTCTGTAGCTACGGGGTATCCGTAAGAGGGGAAACGATATTCTCTCGATGCTTTTCGTAAAAAATTAGACGACGCGTCCCATCAATAAAAATTCGACAAATTTGCAAGTAGCCAATAAAATGAGTGGGCGGAGCGATTTGCGGTGACGTACTCGTCAAGTCGACGTATAAAATATATTGCTGTTTATTTAAATGTTTTTTGTCCGCATTCCTTTCATAGACACAGATCCAGCAGACGTACTGTATACTGATTAGTTATGATGCAAAACTCGTGGGTGCTCCGCGCAAATCACCCATAAGGTCGCGCATCTTCTTATTTCTTCAATCAACTGTAGAAGATCGTTTTTTATATCTTATGATTAGTTTAGAATGTTTATTCTATGGTTTTAATGTCTAATCATAAGACGTTTTGCTTTAACGTATACCTATAATCTTTTTACCAAATTATTATTAATCCTCGACATCGTCACTTAGGAAGTCGACGTCGACACAATAGTTTACGCAACATTTTAATTGTGACATGACATTTTCGACGTCGCCCAACTCTGCATAAAAGGTGTTGAGAATAAACGAATAGCATATAATATATTAAACATAAGTATTATACTCACCGAAAAAGGCTAAAAAGAATTAAAAAATACTTATCGATATCTATAGAAAAATATAATTTATTATACAACACAAATTTAATATTAAATTATATACAAAATTTCATCTATTATGTCAATTTTGAACGTTAAGTGTAAAAATCTAGTAAAATAACAATACATACACAATAAATCAGGCTTAAAATAAAAAGGCGACGTGAATATGAATAGATTAGTGAAATACACAAAAGAATCTCTAAAAGTCTGATTAGAATACATTTCACTATACCATATCGGCAAGAGATAGTCTTGTGTCGGTATTTACATGTCTAAAAGTGAATCGCTATGGCGATCTTGTAAGTCCGATGGAAAAAAATGCGAAATGTTTACATAACCACTTAATTCATCGATATTTTATGAGCTTGAGAAAATACTTGTCCTAGTACAACTTAACAAGTATAGCTAGAGACGTGAGAAATATAAAATAAGAGACGCCCCTCGATGCGCAGTGGACAGCCCACAAATTTGCTTGAATCAGATTTTTCGTAGCGTAACTGCATCTGAATGCGTTCTCTCTCTATCGTGTGCGCGACCGGTGCTATCCCCAAGTCTCTTCCTATATTTGTCAAACTGTACATTTTATTGTACTGAGCGTATACTCTTCGAACACACGAACATCGGCACCCAAAACCCGATTTTGCCAACCCTTTATAAATACGTTTTATATTCTTTTCAGTAAAACACGAATTTCTTTTGCATATTTCGCTATTCAATCAAAAAAATATACAGTGCGTTCGTTCCATGGACGACTTGAAGACTAACATTTTAAAAATCTTGTAAAATAAAACAGATACGCTTACACAACTAAAATACTTTAATATTAACTGGTATTATTGAAAGAACAATGTAAAAATGTATATAAATTAATTTTCTTCGCATTTTCCCCGTAGATCAAGTTCAAAGTCATTGGTAATTTTGAAGCAATAGGGGTACTGTAACTAAAGATTTTAGGTACAAAACAGAAATATTAATTTAAAAGTTTATAAAATAAAAACGATAATAAATTAATTTGCCACAAGTAAAATTAAGAATTAACATAAGTTAAAAAAATGTAGAAAAACTTTGCATCACTGGTTGGCAAATTATGAACAAATATATTTTTAAATTATTCATCCAAACCAACAAAAGCTAAGTAGCTTTTTATTTAGCTAAGTACGCAGAACGTTAGTAAGTTATACATACTAATGCGAATTATATATATGATATTTTATAAATGCTATCATGTATATGATTCATTTTTTGTATCTTTTCATATAAATTTAAGATGTTTTTGACAGACTTGATGTCCATATAAAATTGTCATATAACAATAATTTATTGTTACAATATGACAATATATTGTAGTTCCGATATGGTTCCGATCACTAGATTGGCTCTAGAGTAAATTTAATAATGCAGAATTTGTTCTATTTTAAGAAATTCATTGAAAAGCTACTTAAAATTTTTCTCCGAAAATGTATAGGATACATTTTTTATTAATCGTATTTGAAATTAGCTTTAAATTTTTTATGTTTAGGTCGGCGATTATATGACTTAATAATATATGATATCCTTAGGTATATATTTGTAAAAAGTTTTAAAACTTCTGGCGAAATATATGGCATCAGTATAAATTTGTAATAATATTTTAAACTTCTATTATAATAGGAAAATACAATGTTCATAATATACGAATACACGATATACCGTTTGTATTTTAGTTGTTTGGCCATTTAATTTTAATTTAGTAGGTTTAGCTTTCTTCAATAAAGTGTGACTAAATACTAAAGAGGATTAAAAATAAAAGCATTCCAGATTTGCAATATATATTTTTATCAAGGATTATTAATTAGAAATATTCAAACATATGTACGCTATGGGTACCTCAAATCCTCTATCATCAAATAATGTCAAGATTTACTAATAAATTAAATAAATTGGATATTAATGTAATAACTCTAAATAAAAATAAACTGAAATCATTATCGTCCTAAATGTTTTAATATCGCTATTAATTCAATTTATGATTCCCTTTCATATGAGATTTCATTACGCTAGTACTAACAAACGATTTTCCACAAATACTGCAAGTATAAGGCTTTTCGCCGGTGTGAAGTCTCACGTGAACCTTAAGACTGTGACTCTGAGTGAAAGTCTTATTACAAATCGTACACCTGTAAGGCCGTTCCCCAGTGTGTCTTCGAAAATGAAGTCTTAATGTGATTGAGTTGGCAAAACCGGTTCCGCAGACCCCACATATGTGAGGTTTGAGTCCCTCGTGGACGTTCATGTGATCGTTTAGTCAAAGTTTCTTTCCGCACAGGTCACAGATGAACCTGTTGTCGGAAATGTCCTTTTTCTTCTCGTAAATTTTGAGGTATTAATAAATACCTCACCGCGATTTCTCGACAATAGTCGAGAAATTCGCGGTCGCACTCTTTACATTTCACCTTAGTTCGAACTTTGTAATCGGATGTCCTATCATAACAAGGGCGATTGCATATATCGCAAATAAATTTACTTTTTCCCATGTGTTATGACATAAGTATATATTTGTAAAAAAATAATACTTATTTAAAACTAATTAAATAGGAAAATAAAGTGTTCATAATACACCGGTATACGATAAGCCGTTTCTATTTTAGTTATTCGACCATTTAATTTTAATTAGTATGTTTAGCTTTCTTCAATAAAGTGGCTAAATACTAAAGAGGATTGAAAGTAAAAGTATTTCAGATTTGCAATACGACCATTTTTGCAAAGAATACTACTAAGAAATATTTAAAAAATGGTACACTATAATTCATATCAATCAAATAATGTCAAAATTCATTAATAAATTAAATCAATTAGATATTAATGTAATAACTCAAAATTAAAAACAATCTGAAATCAATATCATCCTACATTAAAGAGAAAAATATATATTTAATACAATATAATTGTGATAATGTAGAATTGTACCATCTACATATTTTTCGAGTAAAAGAACATTTTTGATGTTATATCAATAATACCAAATTAAAGAAAAGCAGGTTTCTCTGAAATTTGTATAGAAAATATTTTTTCGATACAGAAGATATGGAAGCTTTTAAAACTCTTTAGACATCCTAGAAATTAAAAATGCGCGTAATTAACAGAACTAATGAACAGATGGAATTTAATAGTACCTTGGTTATTGCCTCTACAATGAAAATAGGAATATTTTAGGTACGCCTTTTTTCCAATTTCGATGGCATAATAGTTTACTCTCTTTGAAGATTAATGAAAAAAAAAACTTATAACAATATTTCACTAAGAGCCAACCGTATAATCCGTTCAACATAAATATTATAGAACCAGTTTGTTTAAACGTCTGGTGTATATTAAGCCATTTATATGTACTTTTTTATAGTGCCTTTGTTTGTATAAACACAAACAAGAGTGGGACAAATAAGTAATTACTCCTAACTAATATCCCAAGACAATCAAATTAATCATCGCTCATCGCGTTCACTAAAATTAAATGTTTTAATATCGCTGTTAATTCAATTTATGATTCCCTTTCATATGAGATTTCATTACGCTAGTACTAACAAACGATTTTCCACAAATACTGCAAGTATAAGGTTTTTCGCCGGTGTGAAGTCTCACGTGTACCTTAAGACTGTGACTCTGAGTGAAAGCCTTATCACAAATCGTACATCTGTAAGGCCGTTCCCCAGTGTGTCTTCGAAAATGAAGTCTTAACGTGGTTGAGTTGGCAAAACCGGTTCCGCAGACCCCACATATGTGAGGTTTGAGTCCCTCGTGGACGTTCATGTGATCGTTGAGTCCGCTTTTCGAGTAAAGTTTCTTTCCGCACAGGTCACAGATGAACCTGTTATCGGAAATGTGCTTTTTCTTCTCGTGAATTTTCAGGTATTTCTCGTCGAGAAATTCGCGATCGCACTCTTTACATTTCACCTTGGTTCGAACCTTGTAATCGGAGGAGTGCTTGAGCATGTGATTTTTTAACGATGTCCTATCATAACAAGGTCGGTTGCATATGTCGCAAATAAATTTACTTTTTCCCATGTGTTTTGAGTTTAAGTGCAACTTTAAACTGGATATTCCAAAGAAACCTTTATCGCAAAACTCACACTTCACCGAGTAAAGTTCTAGGTGTCTTTTAGTGTGCACGATGAGGGCTTGTTTCGATTTTAAAGTCTTTTTACAGGTTTCGCACTGGTAGTTTTCGCGTTTAATATCGTGAGTGATCGAATGCAGGTCCAGTTTTTGTCTGGTCTTGAAAGTTTTCTTGCATAAGTTGCACGACAGTCTAGGAACCTCTTTGTGTTTCGTCTTTAAGTGATACGTGAGTCTATGCTCCTTTGGAAAACTTTCATGGCAATAGTCGCATGTATAGCATTCTTCTATTTCTAATTTCATTAGAGGGAAGTTTCTAAAACAAAAATAAATCGTTAGAAATATTATAATAAATAAGAAAAATTGAGTAGTGAAAATTTAGCTTAAAAAGAAATAACACTGACTTTCAAATTTGTCTTTATTTTTTATAGAAAAATATAACTTGGCCTAACAGCAATCAAAATGAATCTAAACATTATTTTAGAATACTGACAAATTAACTAATAAATAAATAACTATTCTCAATTGAAGGATAAATGGCAACTATTCTCACTTTCTTAACATTTTATTCCCTCAATTGAGTATAGTCACAAAGTCTGTGGTATAGTCAATGGACGTTTGTCAACTAATAAATAACTAATAAACCAACCAAAATAGAGAAAATTAGGAATTAAAAATAACCAAAAACAAGATAAACAACGACCAAATCAAAATAGAAATGTAATAATATAATCAGATATACTTATTTATTTTACGGTTTACAGGGTGTTTCAAAACAAATGCGAAAAACTTCAGGGGGCGATTCCTTGTTCAAAATAAAGGGTAGTTTGCTTCATAAACGTTGGGTCAAAAGTCAACCATTAGGAAGATATCGCGGTACAAAGATGGCGGAAAAATAATGTTTTTATTTTTTATCTTGAAAACAGAAAGAGATAGACTAATGAAATTTTATGGAAGCATTACTGTTATGAAAACACACTTTCTGGTAATTTTTTCATTTTTTTAAAATGAGTGGAAAGGGTTGAAATAAACTACCCCTATCATTCTTGTTAACGAAATTTAAAGAAAAATCTTATCAAACACATGCAAAAAAAATAATTTGGATAGTTTAGTTTGTTTAGAAACTTTTTTATCTCTTGTATTTTTTTGATAAAACTCACCGATTTGAAATTAAAAAATAAAATGTAAAGCATTACATGTCAGGACAAAAAACATTTTCTGATAAAGAGTCTAGTGGGCTGCTGTAATTTTTTTAGGAAAAAATCTAGTCGGCCACTGTTACTTTTTAGGATGTTCCTAATATTATTTTATTTGACATTACTCTACTGCAATATGTTATTATCTAGATGATTATTATTATCGTTATTATCACTAGATTCTTAATTTAAAAATGTTTTTTGTCCTGACATGTAATGCTTTACATTGTATTTTTTAATTTCAAATCGGTGAGTTTTATCAAAAAAAACATAAGAGATAAAAAAGCTACTAAACAAACTAAACTATCCAAATTAATTTTTTTGCATGTGTTTGATAAGATTTTTCTTTAAATTTCGTTAACAAGAATGATAGGGGCAGTTTATTTCAACCCCTTCCACTCATTTTAAAAAAATGAAAAGATTACCAGAAAGTGTGTTTTCATAACAGTAACGCTTTCATAAAATTTCATTAGTTTATCTCTTTTCGTTTTCAAGATAAAAAATAAAAACATTATTTTTCCGCCATCTTTGTACCGCGATATCTCACTAATGGTTGACTTTTGACCCAACGTTTATAAAGCAAACTACCCTTTATTTTGAACAAGGAATCACCCCCTGAAGTTTTTCGCATTTGTTTTGAAACACCCTGTATATAAGGCTTAAAGCTTTCTACAAATATTACTAGTAACAGGTACAATAATCACTTTCAAATCTTATTTCTAAAGAACAACATTTTATTCTTTAAAGAAGTAAGAATGTTTTATACAAAATATTAGTTGAACGTCATTTCAGGTTATTATTAAATTAACGTTACTATAGTCTATAAAATGAATAACTTTGAATTTTGACCGTTATTTTTTACAAACATGGCAAATATAAAATCCCGCTGTTAAAACAGTTACTGATATTCTTTAAATTGAGTGCCTGAACGAATCAGATAGGTAACTCTTTTTACTTTCGTGAAATAGAAAAGGAAAATAATAAAACAAGTGACAGTTCTTGCAAAAATCAACACGAAATGTCATAATGGACAAAAGTAAAATGTCATCAGCTTTTGACATTTCTAAATATTAGACCAATGCCGTCCTAATAGAACAGCCTCGGAGCGAGATTTATGACATCACGCTAGTTAGATACTACGGATTAATAAATATGTTGGAGAATACATGGAAAACATAATTATTCCTCGTATTTTTAGTTTCATTTTTAATAGATATAGTTTACAAGAAATATACATAATATACAGTTAATAAATACAATATAATATATACCTATTTATAGTAATAAATACTTTGGCAAATAAACTATGAACCATACAAATGCAGCAAATGTTTTACAATATACAAATAATGAATAGGTGGTACATAAGATAATGGGTAAAATGTAAAATATATTTTAAATTTTGGGGTTCGAAAATCGATCTAATTTAACAAAACACATTCAATATCTACTAATAGTGATGTATTATTATTTGCATTCACAAAATTTATTTATATATTATAATGTTTACTGCAATTAATAAACTAATATAAACTTGTCAAAAGATGACCACATATTTTTTTAAATTATTATTCTTAACACAAAAACTATCCACATTGACTATGGAGTACGATTTCAGCCATATTGTAAAACATTTGCTGCATTTGTATGGTTCATAGTTTATCTGCCAAAGTATTTATTACTATAAATAATTATATATATATATTGTATTTATTAACTGTATATTATGTATATTTCACGTAAACTATATCATTTTTAAAATACAAACCAAAAATACGAGGAATAATTATGTTTTCCATGTATTCTACAACATATTTATTAATCTGTAGTATCTAACTAGCGTGACGTCATAAATCTCGGTCCGAGGCTGTTCTATTAGAGACGGCATTGCGTCAGCATGGCCGCAAGTTGCTAACCTAATAAAATTAACACTAGAAAAGCCCGCGGGAACTGTCAATTTCAAAGTTATTCGTTTTACAGACTTATATTAAATAAACCAAAATAGAAGTAATTATGAATTCATACAAACTAGCCCAGAGCCTATACAGGCCGAGGTTCAACAAATTAGAGACAAGCTGAAATTTGGCATGGAGCTTCATTTTGTAGATCTTTAAACATCCTGAAACCCCAGTGATGAACCGTTGTGCCCGTCACCCCAAAACCACCCCTACAAGGGGTAAAAATGGCCCTTTTTTTACTTTTCCTTCAATAAGTCTAAAACTACGAATTTTAGAAAAAAAGTCACGAGTCAAAAATTGAAGCGAAGAAAATTTCCTACTACACAGGCAAAGAACCAAAATTTTTAGAATTTCAGTGGCGCAGGTGCGAATCCTTTAATTTAGGAGGATTGATTTAATAACCCGCCATTCTCTGTTTAACTTCAAATGAAAATATTTTTGAGATAAATCTCGAGACTAAAAAAATTATTAGGATACAAGTTCCTGTAAAAACAAAATCTTTTTAATAAAGGTAAGTTACCAGTGGCGGAGATAATTTTTTAAATGTGCGTTTTTTACATTTTAAAAACATTGAATAAGAAAAATTGCAGTTTTACAAATAATTTCTCATGAAATAGGTATATTGAAAAATTTACACGTTTAATAACAAAATAAGAAAAACCTTAGCTTAACAATAGGATAACTTATCTTAAGGATAGTACTCATTCACTTCCACATTTGTTGGGTTCATACAGGTAATGCCATTGCATTGACCACATGCCATAGTGCAGGTGAGTCCCATTCGCTTGCATGTACATGCTTTTTTAAAGTCTCCCGAAGAGCAATTGCATTTTTTTTTTAAAAAATCCATGTTGGAGTAATGGGCTGGTCTGAATGTATTGGATTCATCTCTCGATTTTTCAGATTCCAACCCCAATCTTGAGGTGGTAAATTGTTATTTAACCAAATCTGTACCCGATATTTTCAGATCTGTTTTCTCAATACTATAATTATATTATAACATATCACTATGGCAAAAATGTCACTGTTGTTTTTGATGGCTATGAAGAGATACAGAGCAAAATTGTGGAGCAGAATCGCAGATCTGCAGGTAAAAAAATGGTACCAATTGTATCGTTCTCGAATTTATCTGCAGTGAATGTACCAAAGGTAGATTTTTTGTCAAACAAAACCAACAAGAGCAACTTCATTCGTGCGCTCGGAAAAGTATTGTTGGAAAATGGAATCAATGTTAAATTCGCTGATGGTGATGCCGATATTCTTATTGTAACTCCAGTAAGTGACAATTTGATACGGTCATTATAGTGTTACTGATTTATTATTGCCACAAGAGACTGTTTATGATTCATCCGGGAAAGATTTCAAAACCAAATAAAATAATCGACATATCGGCCTTACAACAAAAATTGGGGGATCTGAAGAATGCGATTCTTAGTGTCCACGCTATATCTGGTTGTGACACAACGTCTGTTGTGTTCAATAAAGGGAAGATTAATTTAGTGAACATCATCCAGAAGAAAACGTTATGTGAACTATTAAAAGAATTATATAATCCCGAGGCTACAAAGAAGAAGTTAGAAGAAGTTACATCTCAGTTTTTTATAGCAGCATATGTTAAAAACTCGACAAAAAAAGTAGATTTGGATAGTGCCAGATACATGCTTTATCAACAGTACGTAGCTAAACGAAGTCTTAATACCAACTTCAACTTGGCATAATTACCACGTACATACCTCCAATAGTGCGAAATATCATGGACTTAGAGTTTTTCATCAGGTAAGTTAAAATTATGTTGCATTTAAATGTTAAACTAAATTCTCATTTTTCACTTACAGGTACAGGCTTGGTTAAATAACAATTTACCACCGCAAGATTGGGATTAGAAAATGAAAAATCGAGAGATGAATCCAATACATTCAGACCAGCCCATTGCTCCTACATGGATTTTAAAGAAAATTTTTTGTAACTGCTCTTCGGGAGGCTGTAAAAAAGCATGTACATGCAAGCGAATGGGACTCACCTGCACTATGGCATGTGGTCAATGCAATGGCATTACATGTATAAACCCAACAAATGTGGAACTGAATGAGGACTATTCTTAAGATAAGTTATCCTATTTTGAGCTAAGGTTTTTCTTATTTTGTTATTAAACGTGTAAATTTTCTTCTCTTCAATTTTTTACTCGTGACTTTTTTCCTAAAATTCGTAGTTTTAGACTTATTGAAGAAAAAGTAAAAAAAGGGCCATTTTTACCCCTTGGGGTGGTTTTGGGGTGACGCGACGGGCTCAACGGTTCATCGCTGGGGTTTCAGGATGTTTAAAGATCTACAAAATGAAGCTCCATACAAAATTGCAGCTTGTCTCTAATTTGTTGAAGGTCACCCATGTAAAACGATGTATCGGCCCTGAGCAATAAAGCCATGATAAGCAATCAAAATAGAAACGTAATAATTCTGATTCAGAAGATATTCTTTTAGAAATATACTACTATATATTCTTTTAGAAATATACACTACTAAGTGGTACAGCTACGATATCACTATCAAATTTTGATTGCAAAGTACAGAATTTTTGTCATTAAAAAACTAAATCCGTTATATCAAAAAGTATTTTTGCATGCATTATTTGTCATTTTTAACTGATTTAAAAGTAGTCACACAAATTCAGTTTTTCTTCAAGATTTAAGGTGCCCATTCACATACAGTTCGGCGTGTGTGTGACTACCTTTGTCTTTTCAATGATGTATAATTAATGTAAATAATTCTAATTTAGTATCTAATATATAAATTTCTACAAGTATAATACTAACAGGTACAGTAATAGATATTTAGTCGTTTGTACATTTTTTTTAATAATTCAATTATTTAATTCAATTATTAAGTTTTACCGAATAATATTTCTTTTAGAACATATTTGTTTATTTTTGTTCAATATATACAATAAAATTACAGATTAATTCAAGATAAACAACAACATACAACTTTTGGCTCGTACAAACTTGAATTATTAAATTAATGTAATTTATAACATTGAAACAAGTTATGTATTAGGTCTTAATTAACGTAGATAAATATTTATAATTCATAACTTAAAAAAAATAACAAGATATAATTCTACAAAATATGAAACAACAGTTATGACTATAAAATAATAAGCGTTTTTAGAGTAGATTTGTAGTCAAGAAATTATGAATAAATATAGAGCGTAAAAATATGTAGGTACCTATAGATCCATATTTTGAGCTAGTCAACGCGAGAGTTGTGTACACATCAATATCTATTTTCTGTATTAGATGTTATTTTAGAAACAAAGCAAAACAAATTTAAAGTCAAAAATTTCCATCTTACTTTTTTCCAAACATGTCATACGCTGTCAAATGTCACACAGTAATTGATACAAACTACATTCTTTAATGTGACACCCTGTGTATTAAAAGCAAATTATATTTAAAAAACATATCAAGAGCTCTTTCTTTTTATTAGTTTTATTGAAATTTCAAAAAATACCGGGCGCGTCTCTAAAGTGGCTCACCCCTATAACTTCTTTATTTTTTCAGATAAAACAATGATATTTGGTATTTTAGTATGACATAAATCGGGATTGATTGACGTATTCAATTGTTTTCGGTCACTTCCGGCTTCACCGGAAATGACTACAACTTTTGTTTTGAAATGGCACCCTCGGAATTTTTTTACTTTATTCGATAGAAAATGACACTCTGAATTGAATGACATATCATAAGTCAACTTTTGACATTTTGGCATATGGTTTATTTGAAATTGTAACATGCGGTTCATAATGACAATTTGACTCAAAATACCAAGTGTGTGGTATCAAATTATTCGTAAAAAAAATCTTTTTCCAAATATGCTAATGAGCCACCTTCGTTCCATTTGAAAAATTCAGATATGATTAAAAATACGATTTGGGCATCTTTGGCCATGACAAGACACTAAAAACATTAGACAATCAAATCTATTTTCCAAGGCTCCTTGATTAAAAATTAGTGTTTTTCACAAAGCCATGGCACTCTAGATTGAAATTTAAAATATAATTTGTTTTTGAGTGACTATGTCAAATATTGACATATGATATGTCATTCGATTCAGAGTGTCATTTACTATCGAATAAAGTAAAAAAATACCGAGAGTGCCAATTAAAAATCAAAAGTTGTAGTCATTTCCGGTGAAACCGGAAGTGACCGAAAACAATTGAATACGTCAATCAATCCCAATTTATGTCATATACTAACATACCAAATCTCGTTGTTTTATCTGAAAAAATAAAAAAGTTATAGGGGTGAGCCACTTTTGAGACGCAACCGGTATATACATCTAATGGTTGCTTAATTCATAAAATTTTAATAACTAGCTATTAAAAAGAAAGAGCGTGTGTGGCCCTGTGTGCATTTTTGAAATCAGAAAAAAAGTTCTATCATTACTGTGCAATATGACAGCGTTATAAAACTTTTGGGGTAAGAGGTAGGTATTTGAACTTGACTATAAATACTATAATTTGTTTTTACAATAAATGTTCTAGCCCAAAAAATATAGAATTATAGCCTAAAATTGAAAAGCTTTCTACAAATCTAATTAGGTACAATATTCACTATCAAATTTTATTTGTAATGCTTACAATTTTATTTACTGAAGAATTATATTTTGCCAATTAAATACTAATTTACCAATATGTTAGAACATTTTGTAAGGTTTTTTCTATGATGTTTTGGTAACATTTAAAGCGTTTTAGAATATAATTATTCTAAGGTACAATAATTACTGTCAAATTTTGATTGTAAAGTACACAATTTGATCAAAAAAAATATACTAAAAAATATTTTGCATGCATTTTTTGGCATTTAAATTTATTCTTTTGGAAAAAATAAAATGTATATCACTGTACAATAATTATTATGTGTAAATAAATTTTTTTACAACTCTTGTTGTGCTATTGTAGTGTTTATTAATTTGAACTTTACAAGACTCGCAACTTTGTTAATATCGGAATCTTTGACGTCTTGGATCTCGGTTGTATCGTATACATTTATTTGGATCTTCTACATCTTGAGTAGTGGATGGGTTTTCATTATAGTTTCGATGGGTAGCTTTCTTGGTAATCGAACTGCTTGGTTTATGCTGTTGTTTCTCTCCCCAAGACAAACCATCTCTAATAAATAGAAAATATAGCTTTATCAAAAATATATCTACCCATACAGCACGTCCAAATGAAATTACGTTTCTACAAGGGAGACACATGAGAAACAAAATATGTTAAAGTGAACCTAAGTGTTCATCTAGTTCTAACATATACATATGAGATACACGCAGGTTTATATTGATAGAATTGTGTGATACAGTGTTTACTAGTTGTATACCGTATGCACTCAAGATTCTAAAGCGTCTTTTGTAACGTAACAAATAATTATTAAAATTATGAAATCTGACGTCGCTATATGAGACATACAATGTATAAGTCATATGTATGTGTGATACTTTGTATCATAGTTGTGCCTATAGTACACACCTTGTAAAAAAGTGACGTATACACATAATATAAATATCTATATAGACACTTTGTAATAGTGTACTGTTTTGTCTACATTCTAGCATGAAATGAAGGTGTGCGCACGCGCGGATAGCCTCAGCGTAGATACACCGACCAAGTGTATCTTATGTGTCCATTATGTGTCCTCTCTCCTTCCTCCTTTCTAGGAGTGGTATGGGTTAGCAGCCATTATTGTTTTATCATTCGGAAGCTCTATATAAATGTTCTGTTTGTGTGTAGTTTAAAAGAGATTTTAAGGTAAGCACAAGTTTTTAATTACCTTATTACACCTTCATAAGAGTATTATTATAGTGGTATAGCAGCGACTCTTCTCTTACTCGATACCTAATTTACCAAATTTTGACACCAATGAATGAAAACTCCAAATATTCTCGTATAATGATAAAGAGGTTAGCTCTGCAATATATTTTTTTTTAATTTGGAAGTAATAAAAATCTAAATGGACCAGAGAAAGAAAAATTTAAACACTTCAAAGAACTTCTTACACTGATATTCGGTAAGTTATTGATGGATCAATATACAGATATGTTTAATATTCAATAATCAGTTTCATATAAAATTTAAGGGTGAGATTGTTATTCTGGAAATAAAATACAACAAAGTCCAACAGAGTGCTCGTTGAATGAGTATGCTAACAACTGCTTGGAGGGAAAAGAGAAGAAAAAAATGACTAAACGAGGTCCACCAAATCGTGGCGATATACCAGTGTTTACCATTTTAGTATGTTGTTATACTAGGTACTTATATTTTTAATACATTTTGATACAAATTCTGTTATTTTACAGTGTTTTCTTAGTTCTGGTTTCTGCAGTGTAAATAATTATTATTATTGTGTTATTTGCGCTATTGCGTTTCATGATATAAAGAAATATAAGAATTTTGTTTTTTAACCACTTAATCAATTTTATGGAAGAAAAATGGTACATTTAATACAAAACAAGAATAGAACAATTTTAAGACTACTTCTCTTGAACTTACGATGGAGATACTACGATAAGTTTTGCGTTCCAATTTTCGTTCTAAAAAGATATAATGGGTATCATTGAATAAATATTTCTTAAAAAGAACGAAAAGTTAGGCATCAAAACTTGTATTATTTCCTAAATTCGTTCTTAAGAAATATTTTTATCTAGCACAAGATGTATATACAAAGCAAAATACATACATATACACGCAGTAGTCACAACTACAATGTGTAAACAGAGTTTAAACGTAATACACAAGCACTGTGTATCCTACGGCACACTGTGTATCCCCTACTTTGTGTATACGTAAATGCTATACTGTGGCTACATTATGAGGCGGACGTTTAACCTTTGTGCATACGTGTTGAACTACAATGTGTAAACGTAGTATATTTACATCGGGGGAATTGTGTCACCCTGTGTCTACATCTAATAATGTAAACACATCGTAAATGTGATTTGATGTGCTGTATGGGTAGTAATAAAAATACAGGGTGGTCAGGTGTGTCTTGAAAAAGCCCCATATTAGGTTACCCTGTAAGCAATGGCGGCTTAACCAAATGGTCAATGCCCCCCCCCAAAATCAGGAGAAATTATTCAAAATTATTCCCAATTTGTCCAATTTTCGCTTGAAAACATTTTATTTTACCCATTTTCTCTATTGCCGATGCCGGTCAAAATTCCATTTTGTCCTTCGTTCCCGCTATGTTTTACACGTCTAAGTGCCGCGGCTCGTGACGCCAACAAGGTAAGGTATACTACGTATAGAAAATATAATGGATTAAGGTGCGATAGATATAGTTTATATTGGCCATTGACCGCGTCATTCATAAAAGAATTTGTAAGGTAAGCAACTTTATATACTTGTATATGGTAGTTTACTGACAGACGACATAAAAAGTGGAGGTTTTTGTCTTTGTCTAGAAAAACCAGCGTGTTATTATTGTAATTTGTAATATTGTTTATTAGTTGAGAATCGATGTAGTTAAATAAGAAATATCGAGTGCATTATTTCTATATAAATATATTACAGGATTTTCTATATAAATATATTACAGTTTGGGAGTTTATAAAAACTCAAATTATAAAACAACCTAGGTTTTTGTATCGTTTATCGCGTATCGCGTATAATGTTTGGTTTAGTCAATATAAATCAATATTTAAATTTTTAATATCGAAAATAAATTAGTTTTAGTTGCCGTAGCTTTGTCGTAGCCGAGGGTTTGAGATGCAGCGCGAAATTTGTGTAGGTAGTAATTCATAATTTTCTGGTTCTGGCTAAATGATGAACTCTTGTTGGCTGATTCTGGAATAGATATTTTCAAATAGACAACATATGGTGTTAAGTTTGTAAAATCGTGCGGTAGAAAGAAAACAATTGCTTAAATTTCGGAAAACGTTTAGAGAAAGAATTGACTTAAAATATAAAAAATGTGAAATAAAACTTTTATAAATGTGTATGTGTATATATAGTCTTGTAACGTTTTTAGTTCGTTACATGTCTTTTTTATATATAATATATGATGTCTGACCTATCATCACCGGATTCCCTCTCGTTCAGGCCGGATAGTTTATTTGACGCGTAATTTTTACGTTCCCTAGTCGCCAACCCTGTTATCGTTCGACACAACCCTGTTATTGCTCTGAGGAGGCGCTGTCAACATCGCTTCTGTCAACTGTCTCCGTGCTTAACCTCACTTTGTTTTGACGCTCTGTTGTATCCCAGCTTTTGGAAATGGTGATTATTTAAGTCTTGCTGTATAATTTGAATCAGCTGCTATTTCGAAGCTACAGGTAAAGATGAGATATTATCCTTTTAGATTCGTTACTATTAATGCGTATTTTTAGGGTAGAGTTGCGGATGCCCCAACCTAACTTGTAATTGTGTTTTGCCGGCACGTTGGCGTCCCTTTTCTTTTGTCCTCCAGAATGTCACATGGAAGGAAGGACAGGTTCTTTATTATTTATTGAGCCCTCGGAAGTAATTCGAGGTAGGTTCATTTTGTTTATAAGATCTTGTTTGGTTTTAAACAAGAGTTTCATATTTGTAGGGTCCAAGGTACGGACTGTGTCCAAGGTACGGACTGTGCCCAAGGTACGGACTATTTCCAAGGTACGGACTGTGTCCAAGGTACGGACTGTGTCCAAGGTACGGGTAGTGTCTTATGTACAGACATTATCTTATGTACAGATGTCCTGTGGACGAGTGTCCCCAGTAAGAATGATTTTTTTCTTACATATAAGTGCCACAGCGTGGATGTAGCTTGAGTCCCATGCTGCTTCACTCCCATTTCTAAGCCTATTCAGTAGCTACGGCTGTAGTGATTCACGGTGTCCTCAATCTGGACCCTTTTGTTGTTTTGGCCAACAGGATGGCCGACAGACAGTACAGAGATGCTGGACCACCTCACGCTGCTACTGTTTGAAGCAAGGTTACATAAAAGAACAACTAAGTGTATATTTAAGTTCTAGTTTTACATTTAACATCTAAAATATTTTCAGTCTTAAACAGTAACGTACATTTTAAATAATATCGTACAGACTATATTTAGTGGTTAGATTATTAAGAACATTTATGTCGATTGAGTAGTTACAATATGATTTAGATTTTAGGTTTCATTATATTACGCCTTGTAATAGTATTACTTTCTATAGATATTATTATTGCGCTATATTAACAGATGAATAACGAGACATAGATTCTAGAATCTACAGGTTGCAACACATCAGATTTAACACCGCATAAAATTAACAATTTAAATAAAGTAATGCTACTTTTCTTATATTTTCTATAACGTTACACGCATTGTATTTTTTCATAGTCTTTTCGTAGAACATATTTAATATTATTTACATACATAGTTTTACTCAACAAATAACCACTATAATAATTATTAAAATTGTACAATGCTATTTACCATCAGAATTCATCATGAATAAATATAGTCATTAGTTTTAAGTATTATACTACTGTGTTTTCTTTCTCTGTACATGCCTGGCGCCCAATATCTATATATCTTTTGTTAATTATTACTGATTAATTTTCTCTCTAGTGAAATACCTTATCCACGACTGCTCTCCGATGAAAAGCTGCCGTTCGCAGTGGTAGTGGTTTAAAAAAACGCTACAGTCTGTGAAACGAATTACTTTGAATTTGACAGTTCCCGCGGGCTTTTCTAGTGTTAATTTTATTAGGTTAGCAACTTTTTTAGAGCAACTTTGAGCGAGATTTATGACGCTAGTTAGATACTACGGATTAATAAATATGTTATAGAAAACATGGAAATCACAATTCTTCCTCGTATTTTTGGTTTGTATTTTAAAAATGATATAGTCTACATGAAATATACATAATATACAGTTAATAAATACAATATATATATATATATACCTATTTATAGTAAGAGTAATAGTAATAAGTAGTAAGTAGTAATAAGTAAGTAGTAATAAATACTTTGGCAAATTTACTATGAACCATACAAATGCAGCAAATGTTTTACAATATACAAATCATGAATAGATACATAAGATAATGGGTAAAATGTAAAATATATTTTAAATTTTGGGGTTTGAAAATCGATCAAATTTAACAAAAAACATTCAATATCTACTAATAGTGATGTTTTATTATTTGCATTCACAAAATTTATATGTATATTTTGCAAGTATCAATGTTCGAAAAATTATATTTGCAGATAATACAATATCACAGAAAAAAGGCGTCAGCGATGGCTATGAAATAAAGATCGCTGTAATTTTATATGTAAATTATTACATATAAGTATTATTATTATTATTTTTAAAATACAAACCAAAAATACTAGGAATACTTATGTTTTCCATGTATTCTACAACATATTTATTAATCCGTAGTATCCAACTAGCGTGACGTCATAAATCTCGCTCCGAGGCTGTTCTATTAGAGACGGCATTGGTCTGATATTTAGAAATGTCAAAAGCTAATGACATTCTACTTTTGACAATTATTTCGTGTTGATTTTTGCAAGAAGAGGAAGAACTGTCACTTGTTTTATAATTTTCCTTTTCTATTTCACGAAAGTAAAAAGAGTTACCTATCTGATTCGTTCAGGCACTCAATTAAAAGAAAATCAGTAACTTTTTTGACAGAGGGATTTTATATTTGCCATGTTGGTAAAAAATAACGGTCAAAATTCAAAGTTATTCATTTTATAGACTATACATATATATTTATATTTTTGTGACATTATAATTTAAGTGTCTTTTAAATCATACCGTGGATGACTGGATTTTTAGTGAAATGGCACTAGACCACCTGTTTAAAAATGTAAGGGTATAGGTTTCATTTTAAAATAATTTGTATTTATTTTTAAATTTATTTTCCTTTAACTAAACGTACAAGTACCTTGTAAGAAACCAATTAAATTTGGTCCCGTCTTAAGAAAATCGACGCTAAAAATAGATATTGACCTCCCTTACCGCCACTGCCTGTAAGTGAAGATATTAGTTTTCTTTACTTCTTCCCATATGATGCTTTATTAGAGATGTTGTATACAAAGGGTTCAAACAACTATTTCTATTACAATATGTTACTATATTTTTTATCTCCGATTAATTTTGATATAAAAAAAGTTCGACAGAATAAGAAAGGGTTAATTTAGAAAAAAAACCTTTTGTTATACATTACTTATACAGTTAACATCCGACGATCTATAAAGCTATCAGAAATAGTGTTCTACAAGCAGAGGTTCACACTATAAACGAAGCGGCCAGATGTATACGAGGGAAAAGCTCTGATAGACTATTAGGAGATATCGTGATATACTATGACAGCTTGGGCGCTTTAAGAAGCATCAAATATATTAAGAAGTGTCAATAAGATGCAATCAGTGAGATCGAAAACTGTGATGGACTGCGGAGAAGCACTGTCCTGGCTGGGTCAAGGCACTCTGTGCGGGGTGTTAGGCACAGCAATGTGGTAGGCAACCAAGAAGCGGACAGACTCGTCAAAGGGGGAGCTAGGGGAGAGGCCGCGGTAGATGACCCTAAACTTTTGTTACGATCAACACACTGAAGGAAGCAAAAGGAATATATAGGATCAAGGCCAAGCTGCAAGAGACGTGGCAACACCGTGAGGACTGCGCTACAGATCAAAAACTGTGGCCAGTGGTAGATAGCAAAAAGACAAAACAACTACTAGAGCACAAAAAGAAACTAGTACGCATAATTGTAGGTGTCGTCAATGGAAACTGCCCCACGGGGGTAAACCTCGTGAGATGGAAGACTTCCAACCACGACTATTTTAGAGAATGCGGAGACGAAGAAGACCATAAAACACCTGCTCTGCCACTGTCCAGCACTGGAACACCGATGCTTTAAAACTTTAGGGAACAGTTTTTTGGACTAGAGGAAGCAACAGAAGCCAACATCAGCGACATCCGGAACTTTGCAAAGAGCTGGAAGTGCTTTAACGCAAAGAAAGAATCAGAGGAAGGTTTGGTACAATAATACAGGAGTATCGCAATGGGCTCAAGGCCTCCGAGTGAGGGACCAAACAGGATCCCAAACCCCAGCAACCTAACCTCTAGGTACATTTGACAAGAAAAAACAAATAAAATTAAGTAATAGCAAAGAATATTATGATTTTTCTTTGGCAATAGTAATCGTATTGATATAAAATATTCACTTTAAAATAATCAGTAAGCGCTTGTATTTGATTCTTATTAACTCTAAATTAAACTGGACATAAACGAAAAACCCTTAATAAATGACTTTATTTTTTACGGTATTATTACTTTGAATAAAATGTACTTACTCAGAGTTCATTTGTATCGGTGACGTACAATCCGTTAAATCACATTGAAAGTCATATATTGTCTGCTCGAATTCTTCGTTTGCGTAGTTTATAGACTCCTCAATGTCCCTGGACGGCTCCTCATTTGAATCTACATGCGCATCAGCGCATTCCTTCATTTTAAGAATATTCAATATATTACTGTGATATCCATTTTTATGTCTAAACAAACTAGCAATGAAGAAAAATTGAGCTCCACAAAAGTTACAGAAATAAGTTGTGTGGTGGGTACCAATAGATCGGAATTCTAATTCCTCTTTGTTGTCCTTCGGATGAGAGACAATATAATGCGACATTAGGCGGTCGGTATTTTCGAATGCCTCATTACAACAGACACATTCAAATTTGTAAAGATGAAAGTGATTGTTAGAATATGCTGTGTTAATTTTCTCACCGCATACTTCACAGAACACGGATACAATTTTGTCTATCGGTTGATCTCTATGATTTACCCAAAAATGTACTGCTAGTGTGTCAATACTTTCGATATTTTCTAAACACACAATGCATTTGATTAATTGAGTATCAGGAATATATGAATTTTCAAGGTCTATGTAATATTGAATAGCATTTTCTGATCTGCAAAAAATTAATTATTAAAAATATTTATAAAATTAATCAGTAATAATATTTACCCCTGTCTTTTCTCTCCAGTACATGTTACTGTATAGTTATTTACAAGCGATCCTTTGTACATATTGTATAATATTGTATCAGCATCTGTATTTATAGTGGTATCAAAATTATTGGTTTTGTGAGTTCCTATGTCAATGTTCAAACTATTAATTTTACCATCGAGTGAAAATTCTCGCTTCTTGTGATCTGTACTGGAACGGCGAAACTGTCCATATTTTCTTTTGTAATCTTGAAAAGACAGTGTTTTTGCCGACTTTTTGTCAACACTATGGACTGATTCAACTGTACTGGTAATAGTATCATTATCAATTACATGTTCTGGAGCACTGCGAAGATTGGACGTAATGGTTTTCTCAGAATCTCCCGTCATACTATTTCTAATAGTGTCGCAAATAATATCGTTGTTTGTAGAGGAATGCAACTCAAATAATTCAGTATTTCTTAGTTGAATGTTTTGTTCATTCAAAAGCCGCTTGGTGCTTGGTGTATCCGAAGTTCTAGAAGCAGTAGTTCTACAAATTTTCCTCTAAAAGGAGAAGAAATTTTATTTTATTTACAATAAATACACATAGTAGACTGTAGTTTGTGAGAATTATGTATAGGCATTGAATTAAAATAGCATACTGTTTGTGAAGAGCTCTAAAATACTACCATTTTCAAAATAATTTAGTTACAGTAGAATAGAAACTAATAATAATGTAATTTACAAAAACTAACTTAAAAATATATCTACAGAAATGTAAAATTTTAAACACAATATAATATTTTTTAATATACTTCAAAGGTTTCCATTTAGTGATGGGTTGTTATTTAACTATCTGTTATTTTATAACAATTATTTAGAAATAACATAATGCAACCGTTACTACTTCTAAAAAATAGCAGATATAAAATAACGATACGTAGGAGATCGACCGCTCGTGAAACGAAGTCGGCGCTCTGCACCGCCACGAAATTCTATGCTGCTCGAAGCAATTCCAAACAGCTAGTATGGATGGAAAACATGTTATTTCGACAACCATCGATACAGGCAGCGAGATACAACGGACAACGGAGTGGGGAATGCGCTACGGCGAACGTAGCTGCATCGGTCGATGCTGTCGATGGTCGTGTTGGGCTTGCAATAGCTTAAAAATAATAGGATATAAACGAAGCAGCTTTTTTGAAACAGTTGCGGGCATAACGCCTGGCGGTCGAGATAACAGGAGTGGGAAAGGAACGCTGCTGCATCCGTCGATTGTCGATGGAGGCTCGCAACGGGTTGGAGAATAACGTATAGAAAATAAGCAGGCATTTTAGATACGTTGTTTTTTTAACCTGTTACGAGCATAACAGAGCGGCGATCGAGATAATCGGAGAGGGAAAGTAACGCTGCTGCATCGGTCGATTGTCGATGGAGGTTCGAAACAGGTTGGAGAATAAAGCATCAGTTGTTTTAGATACCTGTTACGAGCATAACGGGCGGAGGTCGAGATATTATGGCGCTGTATGATTCAGTACGTTATTAAGTTTCAATATTTAGGTATTTATTTATTCTGAAAAATTTTCAGAATAATATTTTAAGATTTTTTAAAAATGTATACAGGGTGTTTTGAAAAATCCGGTCATTGATTAATCACGATCCTGTTTAAAGCCCTTGACGTAAAAATCTGATTTTTGAAAAACGGAAAGAACGGATTTTTCGAAACTCGAATTCTAAGGGGGTGAACCACCCTCAAATATTAGAATATTTTTTATTTAAAAACCGGTAAGTTTTTCACATACGTAAATTTTATTTTGTTGTTTTACAAATTTTAAGATTTTTAAAAATATATACAGGGTGTTTCATAAAATATGACCCTTGAGTAATCACGATTCTGCTTAAATTGCTTGACGTTTAAAGCTGATTTTTGGCAAACGAATTGACTGTGGGGTGTAGAGGTTCGATAAGGAAGGGTTTCTCGAATCTCAAATTCCAAGAGGGTGAAAACGCCCCTCAAATATTACAATATTTGTTATTTAAAAAACGGTTAGTCTTTCGGGAAAACGCTTGAACACGCATAATTTATTTTGTTTTTTTACATATTTTGAATTTTTTTAAAAAATCATACACACCAAAAAGTTGGATAATTGATTAACCACGATTCTGCTTAAACTGCTCGACGTTTAAAGCTTATTTTTGGCAAATGTGAGATGCAAATTTTATCCAGTTTGTATTTTAATGGTAATTCTTGCTATGCTTTATCATCACCATTACAAATTATTAATTCGACGCAAACGATGTCGCGGGTACACGCTAGTTTAAGTGTAAATTAATTCGAACTCTAGTGTGGAGTTGGTTTACTTATGAAGAATATACTACACACTTTCTTATATTGCTATTTTTTGACCGCAAATGGTAAAATTATATCTAAGAGCTTCTCGCCCGTCGAGTGAGATGCACCCTGTACACTGCTACGCAGTTCAAGATCTACGCGGATCGAGGGGTAGGGCGTAGGTAGATCGGAATGTATAGGTACAGACTAGTGGCGGGATTTTTTTTTATATCGCAATTTGTAAACAGCGCTTATTTGTAAACAACCACCGTTTTTAGAGAGCTATTTTAGATAACAATCGATATTTAGAAGTGTTTTGACATCCTGGAAATACTACCACCGAGCACGTCATTGTTGCAACTTGCAACTGCGTTAATACGCCTGGTGGTGTGACCGCCTCATACTCTTTCAGATATTTAGCAATAAAATAAAGAAACCTGTTATTTTTAAGCTGTTATTTTAAGCTGTTTTTTATAAATAACTATAACAGTTTCAACTGTTATCTAAAAATAACAGTTTTGCCCATCACTATTTCCATTGTCTCGTTTGTTGTCAACCAAATCTCGTTTGTTTGTAAACTTATAAAGAAAAAGCATAATAATTGTAAAATGTAGTTTCATAGATTTACAAAAATAGATCTAGGATTATTAATATTTTAACATTTACCTGTCCAGATTTTTTATAAGGTCCAAGGGATCCTCTTTTACTTCTGAAAACGTGTTCATCACTTGATTCAGTAGTTTCCTCATTAGGGTCATAATACGAAAGGTCCTCCTGAATGCAAATATTTCTTACATCCATACAAACAGCTTCTGGATGGACCACAGTGCTTTGAGCCAATGAATTTTTATTCTTAAATCTTTCAATTATTGTTTTGTTTGCAACATCTTCCTGGCTTAAGCCACACTTAATTCTTTTCTGTCTAGAACCAGTTGTCGTCTGCAATAATTTGTTTTATTAATATATATATTTTTTATTTATTACTAGGTAGTTATACAGGGTGTCCCAGGCTGAACATGATAGAAGTTTCTAGAGAACTACAATATCTAGATCGGAGATTTTTTGCACATCATTGTTTCTCAACGAGATCTATCGATTAAAAATATTTTCAATATGGCGGCACTTCCGGAAATACCGGAAGTTGACAGCAAATTTCTTATTTTAAATAGGTGCCCCCATTTTCTATTACATACTTAAGTTCTCTGTAAAATTTTATGAATTTTGATATTAAACATTCTATATCTAACATTAACCGTTTTTGAGAAAAACATATTTCAAATTTTGGGACGAGAAAAACTGCCCGTCAAAAATATGCGTATAGTCTAAACCTCAAATTTAGTGTTGACTAGTGAAATAAAAAAGTGGGTTTCCATTAGAAAAAAATGATTTATAATAATTTTTTAATCGCTCAATTCCATGACAGCTGCGGCCATTATTATATGACATTCCAACAATTTAATTTTTGAAATACATAGCCACATATCTTCTCTTTATGGTACAGTGGCTGTGGTAATCACTAAATTTGACGTTTAGACTATACACATATTCTCGACAGGCAGTTTTTTTCATCCAAAAATTTTAAATATTTTTTTCTCAAAAACGGTTAATGTTAGATATAGAGTGTTTAATATCAAAATTCATAAAATTTTACAGAGAATTTAATGTAAGTATGTAATAAAAAATGGGGGCACCAATTTAAAATAAGAAAGTTGCTGTCAACTTGCGATATTTCCGGAAGTGCCGCCATATTAAAAATATTTTTAATCGATAGATCTCGTTGTGAAACAACGATATGCAAAAAATCTCCGATTTAGATATTGTAGTTCTCTAGAAACTTCTAATGCACGCTCAGCCTGGGACACCCTGTATATATTTTTATTTCTGTCAACTATTGGTGTAAAATATATGTCTTGTTTGGGTATTTTAGATAAGCCACATATTCCAAAAAACAGTTTATTTACCTGTTCAGATCTTTCAATAGATGGTTCAAGGGATCCACTTTTACTTCTGGAAACGTGTTCATCACTTGGTTCAGTAATCCCCTCATTAGGGCCATAATACGAACAATTTTCGTGAATGCAAAGATTCCTTACATCCACACAATCAGATTCTGGATAGACCACAGTGCTTTGAACCAATGAATTATCATTCTTAAATACTTCAATAATTATTTCGTTTGCAACATCTTCTTCGCTTAAGCCACACTTAATTCTTTTCTGTCTATTATCAGCAGTCGTCTGCAATAATTTGTTTTGTTAATATATTGTTTTTATTTATTACTAGGTAGGTATATATTTTTTTATTTCTGTCAACTATTGGTGTAAAATATATATGTCTTGTTTGGGTATTTTAGATAAGCAACATATTCCAAAAACAGTTTATTTACCTGTTCAGATTTTTCATGAGATGGTTCAAGGGAACCTCTTTTACTTCTGGATACGTATTCATCACTTGGTTCAGTAGTTCCTTTATTAGGGTCATAATACGCAGGGTTTTCCTGAAGGCAAACATTTCTTCCATCGACACAAACAGATTTTGGATGGACCAAAGTGCTTTGAGCCAATGAATTATCATTCTTAAATCCCTCAATAATTATTTCGTTTGCTACATCTTCCTCGCTTAAGCTACACTTAATTCTTTTCTGTCTATTATCAGCAGTCGTCTGCAATAATTTGTTTTATTAATATATTGTTTTTATTTATTACTAGGTAGGTATATATTTTTTATTTCTATCAACTATTGGTGTAAAATATATATGTCTTGTTTGGGTATTTTAGATAAGCAACATATTCCAAAAACAGTTTATTTACCTGTTCAGATCTTTCAATAGATGGTTCAAGGGATCCACTTTTACTTCTGGAAACGTGTTCATCACTTGGTTCAGTATTCCCCTCATTAGGGCCATAATACGAACGATTTTCGTGAATGCATAGATTCCTTACATCCACACAATCAGATTCTGGATAGACCACAGTGCTTTGAGCCAATGAATTATCATTCTTAAACCCTTCAATAATTATTTCGTTTGCAACATCTTCCTCGCTTAAGCTACACTTAATTCTTTTCTGTCTATTATCAGCAGTCATCTGCAATAATTTGTTTTATTAATATATTGTTTTTATTTATTACTAGGTAGGTATATATTTTTTTATTTCTATCAACTATTGGTGTAAAATATATATGTCTTGTTTGGGTATTTTAGATAAGCAACATATTCCAAAAACAGTTTATTTACCTGTTCAGATCTTTCAATAGATGGTTCAAGGGATCCACTTTTACTTCTGGAAACGTGTTCATCACTTGGTTCAGTATTCCCCTCATTAGGGCCATAATACGAACGATTTTCGTGAATGCAAAGATTCCTTACATCCACACAATCAGATTCTGGATAGACCACAGTGCTTTGAGCCAATGAATTATCATTCTTAAACCCTTCAATAATTATTTCGTTTGCAACATCTTCCTCGCTTAAGCCACACTTAATTCTTTTCTGTCTATTATCAGCAGTCGTCTGCAATAATTTGTTTTATTAATATATTGTTTTTATTTATTAGTAGGTAGGTATATATTTTTTTATTTCTATCAACTATTGGTGTAAAATATATATGTCTTGTTTGGGTATTTTAGATAAGCAACATATTCCAAAAACAGTTTATTTACCTGTTCAGATTTTTCATGAGATGGTTCAAGGGAACCTCTTTTACTTCTGGATACGTATTCATAACTTGGTTCAGTAGTTACTTCATTAGGGTCATAATACGAAGGGTTTTCCTGAAGGCAAACATTTCTTCCATCGACACAAACAAATTCTGGATGGACCAAAGTGCTTTGAGCCAATGAATTATCATTCTTACATCTTTCAATTTTAATTTGGTTTGCAACATCTTCCTCGTTTAAGCCACACCTAGTTCTTTCCTGTTTAGAATTAGGAACGGTTGAACTAAATAAAATAAAAAATTAGGAGACGCTATCGTAGAAATTGTTGTTTCATACTTTAGATCGATATTTTCAAATCCATCTTTGAAAGGGTCTTTTGAAAAAGTAGTTCCGTGTTGACATTTTATAATTGGATTAGCAGTATTTTCTTTTGCAAGTGCTATCTCACACAAATTATCTTCAAAATTGCATACTATTTGGCTACATGTACAACTACATTCGTTGTCGCTGCTGTGCTCTAATCTATAACATACGAATAACAAATCACCCATACATAAGTTTAAGCTATGTGACGTATTAAATGGCTAACACCAAGATGTAATGACGAAAATTTAATATGCAAAAGCAATAAGACCGACACCACACATGCAAAATATATTTATTGATCTTAATACAGGTTGAATTTTATTTAAGAGAATAGACAATTTTATATGATATAATATAAATTTCGATATAATGTAATAGATATATACAGAGTGGCGCACCTCATTCGACTCGGTTGATTATACGAAAACGGAAAAATGTAGAAACAAAATATTTTATGAGTATACGTGAGAAGGTAAAGTGCATAGTGTAAAATTATTCTGAAATGTACGTACAGGTTACACTCCAAAGTTATATTTTTTCCGAGATTTTTTCTTATGGAACACCCGGTAGTTTATTTAATTTTTGGTTCTTTGGACACAAAATAAGGCATTTATTAAAAGGGTTAAATATGTTTACAAGCTTTGTTTTGTGAGATATTTGAAGATATTTACGAGCCCTAACAACTATATGTTAGGAATATGTTTTTTTTGCAACAAAAATAGTAATTTGTTAAAACGACTCAATTTATTTTGTTAATTATTCTAAATTCAAACATTACAAAATGATCTAGACAATTTTACTATATTTTTATAACTTTGAAAACAAATCACTTTTGATAATAGCTTATTTTGCCAAAATCAAGCCAAATTTGCTGACAACTATATATTGGGACAGCACAACAAGAAATTTGTTTAATACGGAGTTACATCACCTTTCGCCTTAACAACTGCCTGAACTCTTAATGGCATTGTATTTACCAAAGATTGGCACATTTGAGGAGAAAAATTATCCCAAATTTCCTGCAGTTTTGTCCGCAAATCAAAAATTGTTCGTTGAGGGTGGTTTCTTAAATATTGCTTCATTTTAAGCCACACAATTTCTATAACATTGAGGTCCGGACTGCTTGTAGGATGGGATAGAACTTTTATATTATTATTACCGAACCAATTTTTAGTTGATTTTGCTGAATGGCACGATGCTCCATCTTGTTGGAAAATATAGTCTTCGTTTAGAAACAATTCTTGAGCACTAGGCAAAAGTGAGGTCTCAAAGTATATGTTGATATTTTTGGGCATTAACAGTGCGATCTATAAAATTTAATTTGCCCAAACCTCTGACGCCAACCGCTGACACGCAACCCCAAACCATAATCCCCTTAGCAAATTTAACAACCCTCTTTAAGCAATCTTTATGAAAGGCTTCTGCTTTATTTCGTATTATTCGTTTTCGATGATCCCCAACGCAAACATCAAATTTAGACTCATCGCTAAATATGACCTTATTCCAATCATTTTGTGTCCACGATAATTTAGATTTTGCCCAATTGTAGCGATTTTTCTTTTGAATATCTGTCAGTAGCGGTTTTTCTTTGGCCTAAATAAGAATTTGTATCAAATACTTAAATCATCAGAAATTTTTTTGAATTATTTTTCCCGTACTGTATTGACGAATGATAATGTCGCGTAGTTTTTTATTTGTAGCTTTTCCACGGACCATTACTTTGAATTAAATTAACAAACTTGAAAATTAAAAAAATGTAAATTACTTACAGTAAATCTCACTACTCAAGTATCGAGTCACTTACAAGCTGTCAATGCTGAAGTAAACAGTTTGCGACATTTGTGACGTTTATAGCAAAACTGCCTATGATGATATTAATTATATAAAAATACTTGTCCCAACATTTAGTTGTCAGCAAATTTGACCTTTTATGAACAAAATCCGCTACTGTAAATATGGATTGATTTACAAATTCATAAAAATATTGTCAAGTTGTTTAGGACATATGGCTATGTTTATATTTAAAAAATTAAACATATATTTTTCAGTCATTTTGAAAAACCAGGGCAATAATTCCAAAATATGACCTTGTCCCAACATATAGTTGTTAGGGCTCGTAAATATGCCTGACTCGATGCATGCTATAATAAAAAAGATTGACAACACCCTACATTACTTTTCAGAATTATTTTTTGTGCTGACTAGCCAGAGAAATAAACTTTATTGAAAAATTTGATTTAATGTATCCCTTTAATGTATACAGGGGTATCACAATTTGTTGGCCTATTTTAAATACTGATTTTTCATAAAAACTTTGTTATGTCAAATGCAATACTCTGTATTTTTTAAAATAAGTCGTAGCAGATTTAAATGCTCTTTCAAATTATATTAAAAGTATAAGAATATAGAATAGAAGGAGGTGCGCCACCGTGTATGTGAAATTTTTATAAACTTAAATCACCATTAGATATACGTACTGTATATACAATTTACTGTTTCTGTATTGAAACTAATTTTTTTTATTAAAATATAACTAATTATACTATTTGTAAAAATTAAATATTCATGTTGAAAATCAATTAAATTCTTTGATTTTTTTAAAATGAAAGATGCAAACAGTAAAAAGCATAGACTTAAAATAAAATATAGACTGAGCATCTCATTCATAAATAGCTGGAACATGCGGTCAGACACTCTCTTGTTATTGTTGTGTTATTGTTTTAGGTTATAACGACACGAGCGATAGATAGGTTGTCTCTGTCGTAACGGTCGTTCCCTGACGACTCTGCCGAGAAACACAACACTGTCTTTCGTTTCTCAAGTACACCTGAACTCTCCGTATCATAGCCGGGTAATTTTTTTATTTTAATGAAGCTATAATTAAATTAAAAATATATCGTATTTAAACTTTTTTATATTTTATTAAGATTTAGGACAGGTTTGTTAAATAAAAGTTTAGAAAAAACAATTTAGAGTCCAAAAAGGATAAAAATAATAAAATACACGTTATAGAAGAAATTTTATAATCGAAATTAGGTAATTTTTGAAATTAATAATAAATTATTAATTTTAGTCAAACATTTACAACCCCTAATATTAATCAAAACAGGATCTATTCCACAGATATAATAGAATCGGCGACAGGGAGAGAAAAAAAAAATATGATTGTTGTAATTTTTTTTCTGGTTAAGTGATGTCTTATTATGTAAATTAGAGAAAACATAAATCTGTTCCATTAAAGCAAGGAAGGTGATAGGAAGTGGATAAAATAAAAACTACATTTATTTAACTCGGTACTGTCTTTATTATCCGGGTGCGTCTCAAAAGTGGCTCATCCCCATAATTTTTTTATATTTTCAAATAAAAAAACAAGATTTAGTATGTAAGTATATGAAATAAATTAGGATTGATTGACGCATTCAATTGTTTTTGGTCACTTCCTGTTTCACCGGAAATGACTATAACTTTTAATTTTTAAACGGCACCCTCGGTATATTTCTACTTTATTCGATAGAAAATGACACTCTGAATAGAATGGCATAGCATATGTCAACTTTTGACATTTTCGCATATGGTTTAATTGTAATTGTAACACGCAGTTCATAACGACAATTTGACTCGAAATACCAAGTGTGTGGTATCAATATATTCATAAAAAAATGCTTTTTCCAAATATGCTAATGAGTCACCCTTGTTCCATTTGAAAAAATTGACATATGATTAAAAATACGATTTGTACATCTTTTAACCGGCCTAGACAAGACACGAAACCTATTAGACGATCAAAACTATTTTTCCAAGGCTCCTTGATTAAAACTTAGTGGATTGAAAAAAACTGGATTGAAATTTAAAATAGGATATGTTTTTAAGCGACAATGTCAAAAGTTGACATATGATATGTCATTCTATTCAGAGTGTCATTTTTTATCAGTAGCAATATACCGAGGGTGCCTTTAAAAATAAAAAGATGTAATCATTTCGGTAAAACAGGAAGAGACCAAAAACAATTGAATACGTCAATAAATCCTAATTTATGTCATATACCTACTAACATACAAATCTGTTTTTTTATCTGAAAAAATAAAAAAGTTATAGGGTTGAGCCACTTTTGAGACGACCCGGTATATTAAAAAATATTGTTTCATAATGTAATATCATTTTAAAATTCTTGTATGTTATTTTAGATTCTGAAGATAATTTTAGAATAAACCGGAATATATTTTTAATAAAAACATTATTAATTATTAACAGGGTTATAATTATGATCGTGCTTCTAATCGGTGTTGTCATATTGTAAAGAACTTATCCTTATTAAACAGTATCCGACTTATAATTTAGTAGTATAAGGACTATTTAATACATCTATGGAATATTAAAACCTACTTTATTAAACTGTAGTATTAATATCTCAATATATGTGTATAACAAGAAAAAAAATATTGATAATATTAAAGACGTGACAACATAGGCTGGATGAGGAAGGCTCGGTCGACTGTACTCAGAAGTAAACATGTGTACAAAAAAGGTTGTTTGTCCGCGTTGAGATGTAAATAGTGTAGTCTATATTTTATTTTAAGTCTATGGTAAAAAGTAAGAACACCTATCCATTATAGATTATAATGTTACATATACAATATATAAGTTTATTCAGATCAATGAAGAAAAGTTTTAAAAGCTTCGAATGGATGAAAGATATATAACAATGATATTGCAATCTACTTTCTATTATATAAACACACTTTCTATTATGTTATATTTACACACAAAACATACAATAAAGGGTCTATTATACTAACCAAACCATAGCTATATTATAAATATGTACAAAGAAGCAATTAAACTAAATGTCAGTAGCGGTTTTTCTTTACGGACTGAATTATAATATAATAAAAACTAAATAAAATAAAAACTTTGCAACTACTTTATAAAAATCAGTGTTATTTTTTAGTTCAGTAAACCACGGCCTAATTTGTCGACCGGGACTTTTCAGGCGGATTGTGTACCTTTTGAAAAGTAGTTTTAGGAGAAAAAATTGTAACATCGGATACACTTACAAATTGTTGAATAACCCGGCTAAAATTTGATATTTTTTGATGATTCAAGTTCATTTAAAAGATAGAATCAATAGCTATCACATTTTGGAACTTGTTTAAATTTTGTGATAGATATTATTATTTTATGATAATAAAAAAAACCGGACAAACATTCATTGGCCCAAAAATTTTCAGATTTTTACAAACTTATTCATATTTGTCAAGTTATTGAATCCCATGTATACAGGTTATTTTTAAAATAAATAATATATAAGTGCATTTTTAGTGCAATGAAGCATGCAATGAAGTGATGGAATGCGTAAAGAATAACACCAAACAACAAACTAAAAGTGCAAATAAATTATTTAGTTTCAAACATGCACTGAAAAATAGATACGCACCTTAATACAATTCCCAATATTTATATGTGATCAGTTATATCTTCACTTTTAAATAGTAAATAATTTCCGTATATATCTGGTTATAAAAAATATTTCGGGTATACAAAAACTGCTTTTAATATATTTTTAACAACTTTATTTATTTTTATTAAAGTGTAGAATAGAATAACACAGTTGGGGTAGGAATTTTTGGTGTTACACCAGCAAAATAAAACACTAATTCACCACAATACACAAAAACTAGTGTTAAAAGTAAAGTGTTTTGGTGTATTGCGGCAAATTAGTGTTTTATTTTGCTGAAGAATAGAATGTACACATTTTTATACATTAAACCACAGCTTAAACTAGAGTACGTCCATCTTTGCTATTACTATTTTAACACAATACTCATTAACCACTGAATTAGAATTAAAGATATTGAGTAGTTAAAATACATGATCAAAAACAAAAATAGAACTGCATCAAGAACAATTTTTACTCCAAACGCGATTAAAGAAGTGTCACGTGACATGACAGGCGAGAGGTAAGCCTACGGCTTAGAAAAAATCGTCCGATTTAAAATAAATTTCTTCCTAACCTAACCAACTTGACCGTGTACGACACTGCGACAGTTAGTTTTGACGTAAGAAACGTCAAATAAATTTTTAGACACTCTGTATAAGGTAGTATTATTTTTATTATTGTAACACAATAACTGATCAATAAATAAACTTCAGTAAATATTTAGTATTAAAAACTTTGGTACCCTTGGAGAAATGAAGCCTTAAAATTTTTACTGCAATTTCACAAAATTGAAAATATTTCAAAAACGGTAAGGTTTAAGTATAATAAACCTCAATCAAATTTACCTTTATTTTAATCGTAGACACTAAAAATGCAATAATATACAGGGTGTTCCATTTAAAAAAATACAACTTTTATATTTTTTACTTATTTGGGACACTCTGTATCTTGTAAAATTATTTTTAAATTGTACCTCTAATAGTCCTTCATCGAACTTAAGACTTACAATTTGTAAAAATCTCATCGTTTAGCTACAATACTCCGTGTGGTATACTATGTGGTGAACAACCCTGTATAACATCTATGGTTAATGCTCAAAACTTGAAAACAGAAATGCAATATTTTCAGCCAAGAAGGAATTAGAGAAAATATTTAAAAATGCTGCTGTAATTTGATAAATGTTGCTTTTATATTTTAAAATTTTCCGCCTAGTTCTGATAAGGAAAATATCGGTATATACTGGTAAATCAGTAATTCCATGTTTTATATTATCAATTACCGGTAAAATAATATAGAAAATAAACATTTTATTTACCGGTATTGCAATCCCTAACTAGCATGTATAGTCTATAAAATGAATAACTTTGAATTTTGACCGTTATATTTTACCAACATGGCAAATATAAAATACCTCTATCAAAAAAGTTACTAATATTCTTTAAATTGAGTGCCTGAACGAATCAGATAGGTAACTCTTTTTACTTTCGTGAAAAAGAAAAGGAAAATAATAAAACAAGTGACAGTTCTTCCTTTTCTTGCAAAAATCAACACAAAATCATAGATAAATGAAACAAGTTTAGATTGGAAAGTGCCCATAAGGACAATGTAAACACTATTTGGCGCTATTTTTGCAACGGTCGCGACCCAAAACTTTAGAAAATTTCGGAGCGGTTGGGTTTTTTCCGGAATTATATCGCCAAATATTGTTTATTCAAATTTATTATTATTTTCGTTTAATTTTATAAATAAAAGACGTTGCAAACAAGAAACTTTATTTTATATAAGGACGCATGTATGAAATACCTATGAAACATTGGAAACCGACGTTATACCACGATCCACGATGGTTTTTGCAGTTCACAGAACAGCTTTTTAAGTTTTTAATGCCACTTTTTCACAATTATCACCGGCTGGAGTAAATAAAACTTGAATTAAACTCACAAGATAGCAATTATTACTTTGTAAATGGACGCTATAAACACTTTTCGGAATTTCTTTAATGAGAGCGGTTTAGATTTTGAAAGATTATTATGATTTTTGAAGATTCTGACTTTGACAAGAGAAAATTATTTCTGTTTTTGTTTGCCGTTGTTCTTAGCGACCGCTATAGCAGCGCCAGATCGCGTATAACGGTCGCGACCCAAAATTTTTACGGGCTTTCCAATCTAAACTTGTTGCATTTATCTATGCACAAAATGTAATAATTGTCAAAAGTAAAATGTCATCAGCTTTTGACATTTCTAATTATCAGACCAATGCCGTCTCTAATAGAACAGCCTCGGAGCGAAATTTATGACGTCACGCTAGTTAGATACTACGGATTAATACATATGTTGTAGAATACATGGAAAACATAATTATTCCTCGTATTTTTGGTTTGTATTTTAAAAATGATATAGTTTACATGAAATATACATAATATACACTTAATAAATACAATATACAGGGTGTCCCAGAAATAAGTGCAAATATTTTAACTGGTAGTATAGTTCAACCCCAGAAAAACGCCTATGAGGTTTTTTCGCGAAAAAAAAATTTTGAAAATTCGAAATCTTTTGAAAAATTTTTTGGAAATTTTTTTAGTTTTTAGTTAAAAAACATAATTTCTTGATAGTATGGCAACATAGGTATTCGATTAAATTTACAAGAAAGAAAATTCAGAAAAGATCCAGTGGTTTTCAAAATTTTAGCAAAAAATATTTTTTTTTTTGGAAATTTTCAAAGTAAAATAACTCCGTTATTTTGGACTTATTTGAAAAACGATAAAGAGAAAATATGTTTTTTTATCGAGATCTACCACCCCTTAAAATATTTGCACTTATTTCTGGGACACCCTGTATATATATACCTATTTATAGCAATAAATTGACAAATAAACTATGAACAATACAAATGCAGCAAATGTTTTACAATATATTATAATGAATAGGTACATAAGATAATGGGTAAAATGTAAAACATATTATATTTTTTATTATTATTTTGGGGTTTGAAAATCGATCTAATTTAACAAAAAAAACATTCAATATCTACTAATAGTGATGTATTATTATTTGCATTCACAAAATTCATATGTATATTTTGCAAGTATCAATGTTCGAAAAATTATATATTTGCAAATAATACAATATCATAAAAAAAAGGCGTCAGCGATGGCTATGAAATAAAGATCGCTGTCATTTTATATGTAAAATTATTCTAAAATTTTTGATTTTTTTGGGATTTAGGTTCGGGAAAAAGGCTGATTAAGTTTTCATTTGGTTTTTCATTATTTTTTTTGGTTTAAAAAAATGTTTCGGCTAACATTATAGCCTTTATCAGTGTTGTGTCATATGAAAAAAATAGTGTCTAATATAATCCAAAAGATTACATATAAAATATTCACAACCTAACCTAACACCACATAATGTTTACTGCAATTAATAAATTAATATAAACTTGTCAAAAGATGACCACATATTTTTTAAATTATTCTTAACACTAAAACTATCTACATTGACTATGGAGTACGATTTCAGCCATAACCAATGTAACCAAAAATACGAGGAATAATTATGTTTTCCATGTATTTCATATTTATACAACATATTTATTAATCCGTAGTATCTAACAAGCGTGACGTCATAAATCTCGCTCCGAGGCTGTTCTATTAGAGACGGCATTGCGTCAGCATGGCCGCAAGTTGCTAACCTAATAAAATTAACACTAGAAAAGCCCGCGGGAACTGTCAAATTCAAAGTTATTCGTTTCACAGACTATACAATAATATTAATATTAGTAATACTATATATTTTCATCAATCGTACAAAGTAAGAATTTTATTACAACTTCTCAAGTGCAAATTCAGATGTTCTCTTCTTCGGAACTTTTTCATACAATTAGGACACTCAAACGGTTTAATATCGGTATGGGTAAGTAAATGCCTTCTCAAGCCCTCCTTTCTCTTAAATTTCAAACCGCATTTCTCGCAGGAAAACGGCCTGTCATCGCTATGAATCTTCTGGTGAACCGTCAAAAACGCTCTAACTTTAAAAGCCATCGAACACACGTCGCATTTAAAGGGCTTAAGGTTGGTATGACCCTTGGAGTGTAGACGTAACGACTGTCTGTGAGAGAAGTCTTTGCCACAAATATCACAAATAAACCTTTCGGTTTTTTTCGGTTTTACGTTCGTGTGCATTTCGACTATGTGTTTTTCCAGACCCTCCACTTTAACAAACACTCTTTTACACAAAATACAATAGTTTGACGGTATTTGGCCGTCTATTAGTGGCCTGTGATTGTGAATTTGGTGCTTTCGAAGACTGGTATTAAAGATGAACTTCCTTCCGCACACTATACAAGCGTGAGCGTCGTTCTTTTCGTGATGGTATCTGATGTGATCGATCAAATTCACCCTGGCACTATAAGTGGCTCCACAAGTGTCGCAAATAAATGATTTTAACTTATAATGAACGTTAAACAAATGATTCTTCAAATAATGTACAGTTTTCGATTTATAGTCGCAATAAGCACAACACAAAGTTTCCTGATCGCTATGCTCGGCCATGTGCATACCTAGTATCAAAGCATTTGGATACGCTTGGTTGCACTCTAGGCATTTTTCTTCGTGTGACTCGACATGATCGGATATTTGTTTCTGATTAAGACATTCCACGTCACAAAAGTTACATACGAAGGTGCCTTTGTCTAGATTCGATTTGAATTGTGCTTCTTTTAGCGCCACTTGATGAATGCGACTGTGGAAATATATCGATTTAAAGGTGAATTGTTTTGGACAAATGGTACACTGGAATCCATCATCTAGTTTAATATAAGTTACGTCCACTTCTTTATTCGAATCGGTTGTAGTTTTTTTCTCTTTCTTTATTTTCTTGTTTGCATATCTCCCCTTCTTAACTTTAGATTTTTTATTACCTTCTTTTCCCTTAATTTCAGCTGGCTCCTCTCTATTTTTTTTAATAGGCTGTAAGTTATACTGCGTATCTTCTGATTTAATGAATCCAAAAGTCCTAAAAATTCGAATATTAATACATATACACTCAAAGGCAGAAAAAACGCAAACGCTTTTAGCCCTATTTTCATGATTTTTTTAGCAAACTGTATATAAATTTATCAACTTAATTCATAAACTCAGTTTTTTATAAACCTTAGTATTTGGCTTTTGGCTTATTATACAGGGCCATTTGAAGGTTTTTTTACCTTAATTTTCTTAACAATATATAATAACAAATTAAAAAACTTATCTTAGATAGGAACTATCGGAAACAAGAAATAGCCATCTTGTCTGATAGTCAAGCAGCGTTAAAGGCGATCAACTCAGTATCAATCAATTCGAAATTGGTCAAAGAATGCATAGAGAAGCTGAATAAATTAGGCAAAGAAAACAAAGTCCTCCTACACTGGGTGCCTGCTCACCAAGGGATAGAAGGCAATGAAAAAGCAAATAATCTAGCTAGGAAAGGAGCGAACACTCCACTAAGTGGACCAGAACCGTTCTGCTTTCCAAGTGGTAACCAACTCAAGGCGGAACTAAAGAACTTGGAAGATTCCATCCGCAACCTGGAATGGAAATCTTGCAATGGTCTAAGACACTCGAAGAAGTTTCTGAGGGCTTATGATCAAGAAAAATCACAGACCTTCCTGGGTCTGAGTAAGAACAATCTTCGGATTGTCACGGGGTTTTTAACAGGGCACTGTCTCCTCAATGAACACCTCAGTAGATTGAAACTAAGAAGAAACGGCGAATGCAGATTCTGTGGGGAAGATGGGGTAACACCAGTACACCTCATCACTGAGTGCGAGACGACAGCCATTCGTGCCATGAATTTTGGTACGACTGATATTGGAGATGGAGAACTACCCTCTATAAAACCGTCCCAGATACTGGCTTTTGTCAAAGCCCTGGGACTGTATGATGAGTTATGATTCAAGAAAGGGGGACACAATGGATCTGTAAGGTCGAAGTGATTATCCCCCCTCCCACTCATTCTAAATTCTAAAAAAATTCTACCTTAATTTTAAAGCACCCTGCGCAATAATTTCGTGAGTAACTTTTCCTTACAGATTACTTTTCGATCAGAACCATGTATCCTGAGTTTTTTATTTTTTGACCCTTGTCAACATATGCCACTATATTTTCAACTATCATTGCTTTATGATGTTATTTTTCATCACGAGGTGGCTTTGGTGACTATTGTCCTAGTATAATATCGATACTGATTAGAACTCAAATATATTCAAATTTAAATAAATACGTTAAAAAGTAACGACACAGCTTGGTTTCAATAAATATTAGTAACTTAAAAAGAGAATTAATTAAACAAAAACTGTAATAAGTAAGTGTACCGGGTGTCCCACTAAGAATAGCTCTCGGCTGTATCTCGGAAAGTATTAGCCGTAGGGCTTACGGAAAAAAAAATATTTATAACTAAAGGGGCTATGAGAAATTGCTGGGAATTATTTTCTAGTTTATAAAACGGCCGCTAGGTGGCGCAACTGCTATGGAAAATGAGAAAATAGATTTTTTACAGAATTTTGCCTAGATAGTACTATAAATAATAGCTTCATAATCTTCAGTAAATTTTGGATTTTTTTTGTTAGAACCATTTTCCCCATATCTTCTAAAATAAAGTGGTGGGGGAAGGTTAGATCTATGGAAAATAAGAAAATAGATTTTTTACAGAATTTTGCCTAGATAGTACTATAAATAATAGCTTCATAATCTTCAGTAAATTTTGGATTTTTTTTGTTAGAACCATTTTCCCCATATCTTCTAAAATAAAGTGGTGGGGGAAGGTTAGATCTATCTTTATTTAAATTATAATAACTCCGGACTGGATGATCAGAATCCAACAAACGAGGGCCAGTTTGAAATAGCGTTTCTTACTCTATATTATGCCATACTAATAATAATAATAATTAGTAGTGGGAAATATCGAATGAATACTATCGAAACATTCGATAGTTGCAATTCATTCGAATAATTCGATAGCTAGTAAGAAAACATTCGTCAAAAACTATTCGAATAAAAATTATCGAATAGATGCGTCATCTGCCTTGAAATATTGTATTCTAGTAATTCGGCAGCAAAAACCATTCATTTATAAAATTCATTCATTTATCAAATTCATTTATTCGTCAGGATCGATTATAATAAAATATAAACTGGATTTTAGTTGTCGTCCGGCGACGTAGGTTTCTTTCCTAGAAACCCGACAGCGGTCGGTGGCAATGCTATGAAAGAAGCCGGCATCTTTGATTTTTTGCGGAGTCAAATAAAGATAAGGACACATTATTTTTTTTATTGAGGTGCTATAGTATGTACACAGAAAATATATTATGATGGGCGCTGTTCCCATATATTCGTATTAGTTGGTATTAGCAAAGAATATTATTCTTTAGCATTAGTTAGTTAGGGCAAAGTTTACAGAATAAATAGGGATAGTATGTCTATATATGTTTTGCATTTTTTTATTAATATATTCTGTTGTTACACTGCAATAATACTTTTTATTTTGGATGTAGGAAAATGATTTTTAATGTTTTTAAGCAAAGACTGGTTTAATAAATTGATAAATTTTTTATTTTATCTTTTTATATAGTTTGATAAAATAACAGTAATAATTTGTTATACCTATTAACAACAAAATTTACAATCATTTAATAATATAAACATGTTTTTTAAGTAGTAGCAAAATATAAACAACAAATAGAAGTCAAAAGTATTTATATTAGATCCTATTTAAAAATAATATAGTCTCTATGTGGCAACGTTGGTTTATTAAATAATAATAATTACAGAACTAATTTGTTATATTAACAACAAATTTTAGAATCATGAAATATAAAGATTTATTAATTTTCTAAGCCTGCAGTGTAATGGAAGGAAAATATAAATAAAAAATTAGAAATCAAAATTATTTATATTACTTTTTATTACTTTATATTACTATTTAAAAATAATATATTTACTTTTGCTGGCATTTACCTTAAAAAATAAATGAAATATTTCTTCGCAAAAAACCACATGTAAGAGAATTAGCATAAAGAAAATACAAACATTGTTAACTTTTTTTAAAATTGGCACGTGTAAAACTTTCAATTTAATTTTCTCACCCCAAAATTTGACTTCGATAACCATTTACTTAACCACATTACTTAAATACGATTATTAAGTTCAACTAATTCATATTGTTAAAACATCTAAAATACAAATATGTATTTTTAAATTAATTGTAAGTTGATCTCAGCTCTCTTAAAAATTGATACTTCTCAAAATTTCCGATTAAAAAAAATGCAATCTAACCTAACCATAATATACCATATAAAATTAAATAATTGAAAGTAAAAAGATCGGGCTACGGAAAATCACACAAATTTTCGGAAAAATTTTGACCACTTCGCACACAATCGTCAATTAAAAAAAACTACTATTTTAGTATTTTAAATATTTTAATAAACGCAAAAATAGCATAGTATTTACAAGGCGAAGTTATAAAAAATTGAAGAACTAATAATGCACTGACGCACACAAAAATCAAACGAATACTAAATTTCATTTATCAAAAGCATTCGATAGTCGTGGCGCAACGATAACCATTTAGTCGCACGGCGAGGTTGTCACATATGCTTTAGTTTACAAATGAATGAATGATTTTATTCGAATAAAACCATTCGATAGTTGAAATCATTCATTCAGTAACCATTCGATAGTCTAATTCATTCGATAGTTCCCATCGCTAATAATAATAAGGTTTTGAACGTAGACGCTAGTGGGCGCTTTCTTACATTTTAACGAACATAGCGTGTTTTTTCAAAAAAATTAAATACGATAGTATGTGCTATTTTAGCTGGTAGTAAAGAGTAGTAAAAGCTTAAAAAGTCAGCGAAAACCGCATTTTGATATCTTCTTTCAAACCGAAGATATTAGCAAAATTATAATAAATACCAAAAAATAAGCTCTTAATTACATTATTTTACAATACAGTCTGAGTAGCCCTCTTGATTAGGCCCATTCTAACAAAAAAAAATAAGATAGAAACAGTTAGTTTATTTTAAAATCGACGAAATACTAGAATACCATAATACCAGATGTATTAATATCTAGTAGGCTACTGATACCGTGTTGTAAAAGTAAGGTAATTAAGGGCTTATTTTTTGGTATTTATTATAATTTTGCTAATATCGTCGGTTTGAAAGAAGATATCAAGATGCGGTTTCCGCTGATTTTTTAAGCTTTTACTACTCTTTACTATCAGCTAAAATTACATATACTATTGCATTTAATTTTTTTGAAAAAACGCTCAATGTTTGTTAAATTGTAAGACAACGCCCCCTAGCGTCTACGTTCAAAAGCTTATTATTATTGTTTATATGGCACAACATAGAGCAAGAAACGCTCTTTTAAACGAGCCCTCGCTTGTTGGATTCCGATCATCCAGTCCAGAGTTATTAATATTCAAATAAAAACAGATCTAACCTTCCCCCACCACTTTATTTTGATAGATAGGGGAAAATAGCTCTAACAAAAAATATTCAAAATTTACTGAATATTATGAAGCTGTTACTTATAGTACACCTTATCTAGGCAAAATTGTGTAAAAACTCCATTTTCTTATTTTTTGTTGCAGTTGCGCCCCCTACCGGTCGTTCTACAAACTTGAAAATAATTTCCAGCAATTTCCCATAGCCTCTTTAGTTATAAATATTTTTTTCCGCAGTCGCTACGGCTAATACTTTCCGAGATACAGCCGAGAGCTATTCTTAGTGCGACACCCTGTACAAACAGACAAAAGCTTGTAATAAATACGGTAATACTTTGTATGGCCTCCCCCGGCTGCTATAACTGTCTATACAGGGTATTCCAGAAATAAGTGCAAGCATTTTAAGGGGTGGTAGATCTCGATAAAAGAAACATATTTTCTCTTTATCGTTTTTCAAATAAGTCCAAAATAACGGAGTTATTTTACTTTGAAAATTTCAAAAAAATACCGTATGATCGAAAAAAAACGGCGTCCAGTTGGCTTGGAAATGACGATCGATGACATTTC